AGGTGAGACACACAGGTGAGAAATATAAAAGTCAATAAAAATATCTTAATTTCATTCGAGTTTTTATTGAAATTAGATCAAAAGTAAAACAGACTAACAGCTTATATATCATATCCTTCGCTGATTGGCACGTGCCTCCACTGAGCAGAGGGTGTAAGAGCTCAGTCCGCCATACGATTTTTACGATGTTATCCTACCCGGCCGACCACGTAAACCAGTACTTCATGATGCCGTCACCGTCACTCTGATTTAAATCGGATTGCTCTAGTATACTGAATTAAAAACGGGCGCTCCAATATAACTCGGCTTTTTTATATACGTATAAAAGTGCTCCTTATTTATTGCATTACAATAAGCCCCGGAGATATCCAAATAAATCGTCAAAGGTATCGGCGAACGCGTTTAACGTCAAATGGCGCATAATCGAATCGTCGCCTACAAATTAAGCGAAGCGACGTGTCGCGTGGGCGCCCTAATGGATCGCGCGGGCCTGCTACCCCGCTGCCGGCTAATTTGCAAATTGCCACGGCGTCCACCACTCTGACGCCGTGATCTAATTAGTTTTACCTTTGAGCGCACGCCTCGCGCCATCGCCTCCACCGGTAACTTTGTTTCGCCGTCAAACTATATGGATGGAAAGTTTCCGTGTGTGTTCCGCGTAAATAGGAAAATGCACCACATGACGATCACACGATGAGCAAAATTAGCATTAAAGTAAGCAATGCTTTTTAACCCTAGAAGCCCAATCATATTTTGTTGTCTAAAAAGCCTAATCATAGGTCAAATTTACCTATGTGAGTAAATGCACATATATCTTACTTTTTCTGTTAAATTTATTATTTTCTACTATTATTTATTTATATTAACCATTTCGGAAATGAAAAAAAGCATAATTAGAATAATATGTATTTATTAGACTTTGAAATAACAGCTATGACTAATTAATACTAAAATTTGGTACAAAATGAGATCCTTTCGGTTTTTTTTTCTTTTAAACTAAAATTAAACAAAAAGACTAAACAAAAATGTTCTATATCAATAAAATAGTTTTATATAACATTTTTTTATTTATGTGTGTGAAATACATCAATATTGTGCTCACGAAATATTGCCTTTTTACATTTTATGCACTGTGAATTTGTTTTCCGCTGTTTTTTATAAAGACATTTTTTCGGTTCTGGTTCTTCTAGGAGGGCCTCTGGCACTGGTTGCGGCTCATTTTGAAGGATATTCGTTATATTTTCCCGCACTGAACCCTTCAAAGTAGGGGCTTCCAAACGCTTATTGAAGAAGTCCTCCCACTAGATCTACCTTTTACGGTACTCCAAACATGGTTATTCTTTGAGCGTAATGAACGTTGTGGTAATACAATGATTCTGTTTGATGATGACTGAGGTATATTTGTAGTTGATTCAATAGAAGTATTTTCAGTGGCGGATTTGCCCTAAGGCTCAATAGGCCCGGGCCTAGTGCGGCCAAATGTTAGGGGCGGACAATCGTAACAAAAATTCACTGATCATTACAAGATATATGATGGGCTCTGAGAAAGGGGCGGCTGGAACTTACTACATGGGCTGGTGCCTAGGGCGGCCAAGACTATGAATCAGCCACTGCATATTTTCATTTTGAACAGTCTCTTCGCTAACTATCTCGTCGGTTCTCAGCTGTCTAGAAGACGCCATCTTGTTTTTTTACTAAAATAATATTTATTCGTTAATAAGTCAATAAAATACAACGTTAATCCTCTTGAAATAACTTTCTTTGAAAACTTAAAATAAAAGTAAAAGTTACACAAAGATTAAACATAGGTCAAATAGACCTAAAACAGTCCGGTAACTCCAATATGAAGGGACTTACTAATACTACACCACCACCTCCTGTGGCCTCTTGGCGGGTACTAAGTTGGTTCGATCAATCACGGCGATCGAAAGTAGCGTGCAAAAGATAGAGCAGATATTTGTTTGTGTATAGGTAAAAATGACCTAGATTGGGCTTCTAGGGTTAAAATTAAGCGAATAGGTACTACGAATGCCAAATAAAAATATTTCAGGGATTTCATCGCGTTTGATTCTGTTTTTATTGCCCGATTTTTCGAACACGTACAGTATGATTTACATAAAGTAATGTTAAGTAACAGCCTAGAAATGTCCCACAGCTGGGCAAAGGATTCTGTACACAGGGTATCAGGGCAAAGTCCACCACTGCGGATTGGCGTACTTCACATATCTTCGAAATATTTTTTTGTTATTATTTCGAAAATATGCAGTTTCCTCACGATATTTTTCCTTCACCACTGAGCACGTAATAAGTCAGCACTTAAAATGAACAATTCGGATCGAACTCAGGTTGCTCGAGTATATTGAGTTAAGGGCGAGCGCCTGGAAACTGAGCTGTCACGGCTCATTTACATAATCAAACTAAAAATTATTTAACAAATACTTATTTAATAGTACTGACCATAGATATAAAAACAGCTTGCCGGTAAAAGGGAAGAAGAAATAATTACAGTCTAAAATAAGTTGTTGCACTCGGGCAATACATTTCACAAACGTTACGCTAGGTAACATTATTTGGACGCTTCTAATGGGAGTAAGTGCTTCGACAAATGGCCCGCCCGCGCTTTTAATGCAATTTCGCCTCCCTTTGTGACTGAGAATTGGCGCAATCAATCCATTTACACTTTGTTTCGCCAACACTGGCACTAGTGTGCCTACGCAGGACGGGCTTTTAGCGAGAAAATTGCTAACGCTTTTTTTTACCCCACTATCCGTTACTCTACGGAACAGAGTGAAACCATCGAAAGCCCCGCCCCGCCTCTTGTGGTACGAGGAATTGTTTCACGATGCTGTACCCAGTTGGTTTTATTCAAGACATCTGATGTAATACAGATCTTATAAAACGTTTAATCATTTCGTAATAATCATTATGCTAATATTTTACATTGGTGGAATTCATTTATTTTTTAAAAAAATATTTCACTTCTTAAATATGTAGGCATGGGATAAATGAAATCACTTTATTGAGTACATTCAAACTATTTTTATATTGATTTTTAATTAATCAATTTTAGCACACAGAAACACGTTATTCATTCGTGGAATCGTTGCAAGAGAGCGAAAACTCGTTTTTGTCATTCATCCTTCTCATTCACACAATGTTTCGTTCTCAAATCATATTTTACTTTGTTCGAAACAATTAATACAAAACTATTAAATAATTAATCCTACTGATATACGGTAATCCTACTGATATCCTACTGATATACGGTACGATCTGTAACAGCCACTGGGTCAGTGGCTATTACAGATCGTGGTAAACATCACAGACTTCTAGGAGATTGGGGTAAAACAGAAGTATTTATTTTTTTGCATTTATTTTATTTTATTTTTATTTTAGAACAATGGCGGACTTAACACCATTAGGTGTTCTCTACCAGTCCACCGACAAAAAGATAGAGAAAATAAGGTGCGAAAGAGCCACGTAAGAAGTAGTGCAAAAAAACTTTTAGTTTTTGATGCAACCTAGATAACCTATGCGAGCGCTCGCTTGTAATTTAGTTCACTCAAGCTGAATTCAAACCCCATCATCGTCATCAGCCGGAAGGTTAACGTCGAATTGATTCAAATCGAATTGAATTACTCATAATCTTTTAAATACCATTATATTTACAAGTTTAACAGCTTTAGAAAGCAAGTCTGTAATAAGATGTTGTTGATGTTACATTTTAACAGTCGCACCTCATTGATTACTTCATTTTAACTTTTTTTCATAGTGACATTGGCATATCACTTCATTATACATTGCGGCCACAACGCTTTCAAAACAAAAGGCTTTACTTTATTTGGTGTATTCATAACAGAATAAGATAAATGAGGAAGGCAAAAGTCCTGAGAACTGATTGTGATACGAAAATTGACAAATGTAAGATGCCTGGGATTAATTAAAATGTATCTGTGGTCACCGACCATCGTTTGTATTTAGACCTGTTAAATATGGACGATTGTCTTCACACGAATTATAATTATGTACCAACTATGTCCATTACGAATCTGAATATCATAGGCCGCGAATGCCGAAGACGTGCGTCCGATTCCCACAGCGGCGACAATCTTTTCGTACTTTTTCTACAAATTTTAAGCTCAATATCAATTAAGACTTTGGCAGGGACATAACCTAACCTAAGCCAAACCAGTTATGTCAGAAAATAGAACTATCAAAATAGAATAGAACTACCCAAAATAGTCAAGTAGAAATTCGAAACCAATTTTATTTTTAACTAACTGAGCTACAATCGCTTGAACTATTTAATTACTTCGAAAGCCAGTTCTAGAACCTCGTTACTTTATTATATTAAGAAATCTAATCTACAATAGTGTTAAAATCCTATTTGCTATACAATATTGTAAATGACTAAAAATAATGTAGTCTGACATATATGGCTTACAATCACGGAACACCTACCGTAGGAAAAGATGTTGTGCGTTGTTGAGGCGTTTTACGAACTACAATTAAGCACATCACATAATCCAGATTCGACAACTATCTGTTTCTCATAAATAAACACTCCGATCGGAAATAGAACTCATGAGCCGCGAAGCAGAAGTCTGTCGCTTAGCAACTGCGCTGACTGAATCACTGTACATGTACATTGCATAATAACTAAATGTTTTAGCTGAGAGCATTTGCCTTGCAACGATGAATCTGGTTTTAATATGCTTTACATGTTTGTTGTAGTATAACAGTGACAAATACAAAATTAAGTAGAAAAAAAAACGTTCGTTTCAGATTTGAACAACTCGGTCCACCTCAATCGAAACATTAATATAAATGCGGAGGCTAAGGGCATAGAAATAATTGAATTAGACGAGACAAGTACATCGGGGTCAGACGATGACCTACAAAGTATGGGAAGCCAGCACGCTTGGTGTTACACTGGTATAAATCGAAACCAAATTCATGACAATTACAATATTAACAAAGAAGCGAGAGAGAAACGGCGAATGAAGAATAAAGTGTTTCCTGAATTCGTGGACTTGAGTTATGGTCATCATGCTGTTCCTCACAGCTCTATACGGAACCACGTCGCCAAGGGAGAGACGCAAATGAGTAATACACTGAACTGTTTCACAATCATAAAGAAAGAATTCGATGACTCGGAGTCATCGTCGGATAAGGAAAACGGCCCTGATATTGCACACTGTGGTGACGTGGTGCTGGAACGTAACGGGCAGAATGATGAATATTTTAAAGAGAGTAAACATGACAAGCGTCTAGACAGCGGCGCAAGAACTATACTGATCTATTCTTTTAAAAATAGAAACATATTGAATCTAAGTGATACTCAAACAGTCGATAGATCCAGCGAAGAAAATTCTTCAGAATCACCAGTTGAAAGTCGAGAAAGCGAGCATTTATACGACAAAACGGATTACAAAGATAGAGTTGCTTCTCCAACCCCCGCTCTGTACATACCCCGTTTAAATTTCTATACAGCGGCCACCTTACCGACAGTGACTGAGGTAACAGAACCCTATCAGTTGTCATTGGATAATTTCGAGATAATCACAAACAATACACCCAATCCGCTTACGCCGAATAACGTTTGGATAAAGAGAAACAGCAATGAATTACACGGCGAAGAAATAAAATATAAAGAAACTAACACGATCAACAGTTCAATGGCCCCACTAATACCTTCCAATGATATTATGAACTGGATGGCTTTGTCACCGAGGGAGAGAAAGAGACACTTTATAATTCCCAATTCAGGCGAAAAGAGTCGTGACGTTGAAGAATATTTAAAAAATGGCGTACACGTAGCAAAACATGAGACAGACATAAATGATACTATAGATGATGCAGGTGAAGCCGATCTAACAACGACCGCTAGCAGGCCCCCGAATAATAAAGGCGATGAAAAATTATTAGAACAGAAAAATAGTACATACGTCATAGACGAAACGGGCGATCACAAAACAATCAGACGATTAAAAAAACCGCATATAAATTTGGAGAAAATCGTTGCTAGTAGCATAATCACCGATCCTATTGAGAAACTAAATGGTGATAGGTGGATTGGTCTCGAACATGTACATACCGACAAAGGTTATCTCGACATGGATATTTCTAGGGATTCTAATAACGAAGACCTAAGAAAGCCAGGGGAATTGAATAGATGCGCTGGTGACAGACTATTCAGTAAAAATATGTATTTACTAAAACCAGTAGAATGGTCTGAATACTTACCAATAACTGAGAGCACGCCGTCTTTACATTTATCGCTTCCTTCAGACATAAACGATATAAAACGACCGTGGTTTAAGCGATTCATACGATTGTTTCGATGCTGTATAAAATGTAAATAAATCAACGAAAAACAATAAAACTTCGGTGAATCTTTCGTATTGGCGAATTTATTAAATTCAATCACAATCTTCCAGCAGTTTGGAGTACTTACACGAAATAAAACCTAACATTCGTCAAGGTACTTCAAAAATAGTAAAATAAAAACATTCACAACACAATCAAATTGTCAAACCATTCTATCTTAACTTATGCCAATCATTCTATCACAATGGTGTTTTTATTATATTGGCTAGTTCGGATAGTTCGCAAAGTTTTTGTTACTGTATATTAAGAAAAAGTAAAGAAATTATCCATTAAAGTAATCTGAAGAGTGCATAAGCTTTTGGATAGCTTAAATATTGCATTTTACTGTCAAATCAAGAACGCGACAAAAGAGTACATACGATAAATAACTTAGCAGAGTTCTTCTATTGATTGAACTAATTCAAGTGATTTTGATGTTAAAGATCGCCATAAAATATGATCTTCACTCTCAACAACGCTATTTTGATGTGCTTGTTATCTTGGTTTCTTCGTATTACAAACAAAAAAATAGAAATGTGAAAACTTTGTCTATATTATCTCAACTGAGGTAAGTAACGCTACTTTGTCCAATTAAATTCAATATTTCTTTTAAAATCTGGACGAACTTTCCGAACAAACCAATAGGTATCTTCGATATTGTCAAGTGAAACTGTACAAAAAAAACTCTTACAGACATCTAAAAAGGGAATGTAGAGTACAAACAGAGTTTCTATCTATCCCATTAGATAATGGATAAGTCCTAAGGAATTACTTCATTAGCCAAATATAGCCATTCAGTTTCAAACAATTTTGTGGGGTTAAAATAGGTGCAATAAAAATGACACAATTCATACGACATAAAGTTTCAAACATTTTTCCTTCATCATTATCCTCTCAACATCTGGCGACACTATTAAATATAAATTCTTGTTTTAAATGCATCAATGTATGCCACAAAGTTACTTACACGATAAAGAGAACAGTGTATCACATAATTGAATTACAAAGTATCCATACATATTGTAAATTGATTTAACCTTTTATTTTACCTAGAAAAATGCAAATACTCGACAACAACACCTGTATCGACTATTTTATTGAGTATTATTACATCGTTAACTTCAGCGACCATTAACTACGAGAGATTAAAATTCATATTTTATCAAATATATACCATTATATAAAAGCCTGATTGGTATATAGATGGGGAAAAAATAGAAAAAATGGATGTTTACATCACAGTGTAGCAAGGCCTTAAATACATTGGATTTGTAGCGGTATTTGTGTATACTTATTTAATTTCATGATATTTAAATACATACATTAACGGCCACACTCAAAGACTTCAATTAGCAATGGAGTACAGATTTAAAAAATTTGTACAACTTAATAAGGAACCAATTTAAGGTTAATCAAGCCATAATTATCTTATCTGCATGTGTACTATTAGTTACATGATGCATACAAAATTGAGGCCAGCTCAAATCATTTGGGGAATGCAAGTGTTGTATATTTTCTTTTGTACCTATAATTCTTATTATATAAAAAATTTGTAAGAGAAGCTATGCAGTTGAGTCGTCAATCTAAGTGAAGTTAACAATTCACTTTCAAGAAAGAGACGAATGTGAAAATAATTGTTCTGTTTAATACCAATTTATGTGGCGCGCAAAACTTAAATACGCCTCCCAAGTTGAAAGTACATATCGTGCACATTTTAGTTTTGCGCGGCCCATATTATAATGTTAATAGCTCTAAGTTATTACACTGGCGGGCAAACAATTTCATACCAATTCCTTATAAAATCTATAATACTCTCACTGATTTAAACTAATTTTAATGAATCAAAAGGATTGTTATCAGTAAAAAAAGCAATTAGCAATTAGAAAATTAAGATACTGTGCCATGAATTTGCTCATTGCAAATTGGGTTCAATTAGCTCGACTGAGAAATGGAACCATTGAAATAACTATCGTTTTTGCATTTTCCATATCAAATTAAACTTAGCTAATTGTTTAACTCCGAACAATTAGTTTATATTGCATATAATAAATATAGAAAAGTAATAAATTTATTTTAAATACACACAAATGAGGAAGACATTAGTAGCCGCACGGTCATCTCATTTCATGCTCAGTAATTTCACGGATGCGAAAAATAAAGGGAAAGGCAAAAATTGAATTTGCCGAGAGAACTGCAAAGACATTCTCCAATAATACTTAATAGAGACGTATTTCAAATCGTTAACCAACAATTCGGAACACGCAAACACAACTTGCATTTATTAATAGTATTTAACCACTTCATTAGTTCTTCTTGTTTGGGGTAAAGTTATACTTGTAGTGTGCTTGCAAAAATTAGAGTAGCGTCACACTTGGCAACCACGTTCTTTTTACTAATAACCCCGCCACTAAAGTAATGGCCACGCATGCGTCGTGACAAGTAATGTAGCACTTGCTGTCGAGTTGTGTGCGCGGCATTGCCACAATAGCTGTTAAATAATTCATGTCGATCACACTCGCGGTAAAAGGTGCAGCCACACTTGCGTCGATCGATTGACGTAGTATCGCACTTGCTGAAGTGTAAATGCGGTGTTGCCACGCTTGAAGTCGGTGACGTCACGAGCGCAGCGCCCGTTCAATGTTGAAGAGAAACTAAACGGTACACAGAACTCGAACTAAAGGCTCCGCCACACTTGCGCGGTGTGGCCACACTTGAAGGCGGTGACGTCAAGAACGCGGCATCCGCTCACGAGAATGTTGGGATTACGCTCACGACAGTCGAACTAAAGGCGCCGCCACACTTGGGAGATGGAGAGGCCCGCTGTTGCACTGACTGAGGGGTGCGAGCGCGGAATTGCTACACTAGAAGTCGGTGACGTCACGAGCGTAGCGTCCGTTCACACCAATGTTGGGGCCACGCTCGCGACAGTCGAACTAAAGGCGCAGCCACACTCGCGAAGCGGACAGGCACGGTGTTGTTTGCGCGCGCGGCGTTGCCACACTTCCGGCTGGTCGGTGGGCAGTGACGTCACGAGTGCAGGGCCGGCTCGCGGCGGATGTAGAAGAGGATGTAGGGCTTGCAGGAGGCGACCGCTGACGCCTCGCTCGCTCTCACCGTCTGGTCGTTGAAGTGGAACCACTGCTCCTCGTTGATGGCGAACGCCGTGTAGTGCCCGGAGCCGGCCCTGGAAGGAAAGCAGTCGATCAAACATTTTGTCAAAAAAAAAAACTTAGTGTACGTCATGCCACAAAAATTTTAAAAGGTTAAATAAAATATTGTAAAATGTATATTAACTGTTAAAATAATATTTGGGTTTTAATAAATTTTTACTTTGTTTTTATTAGGTGTGTTAATTGAATGCAATAGCATCTAGATTATAAGAAAAAAAATTGTTATTTTTATTGTTTCCCAATTGAAATATATCTAGTGTCTAGCAACACTATCGCATTGGACTAGCCCTGGTACGATAGTTGTTTGCGTGTGTGATAAATAAATACATAAAAATATAAATATAAGAGTGAATGGATTACATTGCTCGGTACAAATAATATTTGGGCCACTATAGACACTTAAGTCACTAGCTGGGGTCGGCACCATAGACACCAAAGGCAGCATAGGAAAGGCATACCCGGATCCGTGGTGCACTATGACGGCGGCGAGGTCGTAGAGCTGCGGCGAGGGCGCGTTGCCCGGCACGAAGCGGGACATGTCCAGGGAGCGCAGCGGGAACGAGATGCCCGTGTCCACTTTGGTCCTGAAACGTCCGCTCAGTTTAACGTGGATCACATAAAACCGAAATAATTAGGATATTTGGCATAATACATTTTTTTATTTATTTATTTGAAGCATCACAAAGCAGAATGACAACGTATTTATGTAGTAACACAAAGATAATATTATATGATTAAGTTGACATTCCAAGTATGCGACGACAGCAAGTTATATAAGAAAAACAAGAAAATTGATGGCAATTTTAAAGAAGAAAACACTGCCCTTACTTTAGGATAACATTGTCCTGTGCTGTAAGGGCGTTTTACAAACATAGATTTCACGCGGACAAACACCCAGATGCCAAACAACTATCTGTCGGGTCACACAAAGAGTTGTCCCGTGTGGGAATCGACCCCCGACGCTAAAGCCATATACCATGGCAACTGCGACACGGTGTCATTCACATCATTCAACTTAATCTATACATACACATGTAAGCACTTCATCTATACATAACTAAAATTTGTCGATTTGTGTAAAAACGACGGCCGCGGGAATCGAACCCACGTGTTCCGGATTCGCGCCTAGACGCTTTAACGGCTAAGCTAAAGGGCTGCATCGAGTCACTATGGTAGGGTTACGTAGCATCTTCTGCTGCTGCAATGGGCAGGCTCATGAGGGAGAGTAACACGATCTCGCAGAAGACCGACGTGAAGTGAAAGTGTTATACGTACGCGTTTCGTCTGGTGAATGAGGTAACGGGGGCCGACAATGTTTTCAAGCGAACAGGTCATTTGCAACACCCGTAGGGTTGCAAGTGCATTGGAGCCTTTTAATAAAGTGGGCCCTTATCGGATGGAACTAAAAATCACGGCAACGGTAAATGAGACTTCTTTTAGCATCTACCTGTTCCCGTTTGTTAACTGACCGTCATGTCCATGAATTTTGTAACGTATTCCAAACATTGGGAATCCAAGCATAAAATAAACATGATACATCCGTAAAATTCTTTTTTCTTTTAATATTTAGAGATCGCGTTATAGCAAAATTAAAAAATCTATGAAATGATTATGTGCGTCCACCATGTTTAATTCTTCATTGGCATTATTCCGTACAAAAAACACAATATAAGCATATACCTAGTCTTTGTTCCCCAGTTATTTAAAAAAAATATTATTTCAGAATTTCCCTCTATGATTTCTCTGCAATTTTATGTTGAGAATAACAATAAAAATATACAAATAACAAATCAAGTATCACCTAAAGTAATTGTGCCATCGGAACCTCTTCAAGTGCAGACAGAGGACATTGGGCAGCCGTCGTATCCAGAACTGCTTCGTAGATTTCTGCTTGCATTTGCAGCTGCTGCAGAAGTAACGCTCCGTGTCGGCCAACTCTTCAACCTGGGCAGACCGATGGGCAGTATTAATTAAAAACAAAACAAATAAACTCAATTGTGTCTAAACAATACTTCTTTTCACATAAGCTGTCTCTAATCCTTTGGGTAGACAGAGTTAGGGATAGTATCCACGTTTCATCGGGATTATTAGTCTTCAAACAAGTCAAATGCACATTCGAGACGGCAATTAATTTGTTATCTAACAGGATTTAAAGGATAACCGTTTCCTGATTGAAAAAAAAATGCATATTTTTATTGAAACGTCAACGTTCACAAAACAGTTTAGAAATTTAACTTTTGAAGTTAAACTTCTTTTGACGCGTTATGATTCTGAATTTTTACGATGGGCGACACCAATTTTATGGTGCTACCATGGCAACCATTATTGGTTTAAGTTTTTGCGTTTTTCTTATAATTGCAAGTTATTTAATCAAACCATTAGCATTTGGTGTCTATTTTTAAACAACCAAAGAGTACTGGCACTCGGGATAGCATTTTTAGTTATTTTTTTTACACTAAAGTTTAACTTGTTACGTGCGTAAAACTTTTCTTTTTTTTAATCTGTCATTCATTCATTCGCTCTCAATTACCTGTACGAAGCTCGCTAAGCAATCGGTAAGCGATACGGGCGCTTCATGGCGCCCAACTTCAGGCAGCTCCAAAGACAGGTCCAAGAACGGGTCGAATTTTTTGCTCTCTGTACCACAAGCTAGGCAGCGCACCTGGAATCGCACGCGGTTATACATGAAATGTGACGCACTCGAAATTGATGTTAGCGGATGACATAATCTATACACACAAATTAGTACTTTTTTGAACGCAGCCCCACATCACTGTAGATTTTTTTATTAGTTTCGGTGTGAAATTCGAAATTAAAATATATTTTAATATATATATATATATATATTAAAAATATAAAACTGTAACGTAAAGTTCATTTGTAAAGGTCACATAGCATATGAATGGGTTGAATGATTTTAAAAGAGATAAAATATACTGTTAGAAGGAGAGATTTGTAATGCGACGCTGCGACAACGAATGAAAAAGTCTCTGAATGTATGAATCAGTCAGTTGCAGTTGTATAGGATGTTACAAATTTTGTTTTTTTTTTATTTAATTAGTTTCTTTGAAAAAATATATTTTTTTAATTATAGTTTTTTTCAACATTGTATATTTTTCATGATTATTGGCAAGTAGCGTTAGACGTGTGTTCATTTATTGTCGCGGTTGTACAGACACGCTGTATACATATATAAATGTATTATAGTATTATTTTTGTATCGTGATTTTAACTTCAAGTGAGCTATATTTTTTTAAATACTTTAAGTTTTATTATACCCACTTCGCTTTGTAACGTGCCTCCAAACACAGCGGTCACGATTGACGTTGAAGGGGTCCTAGGTACAAAGACATCTGAGCGATCCGGTGGCAACAACTGCTGCAATTCAGTGTGTAACCTGAAATTATATTTATTTAAATCATTACAAATTATATTAAACGGAAGAATAGGATTTTATTGATCACATTTATTTATTACACAATATGACAAAGAAATTATTGTAATACCAAGAGCAGATTAAACGGGATTGTGATGGAGCAAGCAGTAGTCATTTGTACATATTTTAAAACAAACAATGAAAGAGTCATTGATGAGTCCATTAATTTAGTTTAAAACTTAAACTTAAACTTTAAACTTGATAATAGTGATGGAAAGGTATGCTGTATTTTGATTATGTCCAGAGTATATTTTTAATGTTAGTAGAAGAGTTTTGATTAAATTAGTTTGATGACTTGTGATGGCCAGTGTTTGACCACACTCTACCATACACACTTTGGAACTAATTGGCCTTTGAATATACGTATTGTGTTTATTCAAATTTTAGCATGACAGTAAAGAGAGTTTATTACCCTTTAATAGCAATAATTTAACATGTAAAAATTAATTTAATCACCTGTCTAACATGTAGCGTAGAAATTCATGAGCATCCTGCTGTTGATAGCCACGAAATCTGGGCACAACTTTCCATATGACAAGGAACAGGCACTCCGGTGAGATTGCCCCTTTTGAACCGCAGCCACCAGTGTTTAGATTAATAAGAACCTGTAAAATTTTTAAAACAATGTATACAGCGTGTCTTTACCATCGCGACAATAAATGAACACACATATAGAGGATAACTTTTTAAAATTGTATTAAACATTTACTTTCTTTAAACATCAATATTTACAGAGTTATTAAATTTTCCGAAACAAAGAATTAGAACATCCTTACGTATAAAACTGTAACGTAAAGTTCATTTGTAAAGGTCACAAAGCATATGAATGGGTTGAATGAATTTAAAAGAGACAAAACATACTGTTAGAAGGAGAGACTTGTAATACGGCGCTGTGACGCGAGTTGTATAGGATGTTACAAATTTTGTTTCTTTTTTACTTATTTAGTTTGTTTGAAAAATATTTTTTTTTAATTATGGATTTTGTTTAACGTTAATATTTTTTTATGATTATTGGCAAGTAGCGTTAGGCGTGTGTTCATTTATTGTCGCGATGGTAACGACACGCTGTAGACTACAACAATAAAAAAAAGCATAAAACACTAACATATAAACAGAGGCATTATGCAAATGAACCTTACTAGTTTTTAAAATTTACGCTAACATCATATAACAATTTTACTAAATTTAAAAATTTAAAGTGCTTCAGGAAGGAAATGAAAATACATCTGCAATTTTTCGGTGGTGGGGCCACAGAACAGTCTTTGCTGTTGTACGAATGAGCAGGTCCATCTGGGCAATTACCATGACCTCACAGAAGAGCGGCGTGACGTAGAAGTGTTATAAAATTCTTCGTTTCGTCTAGTGAGTGCAGTAGCCGGACCACACTTTATAATTAGGTGGCAATGCATCTGCAGCTGTAAAGGGTGTTGTAAATGTCCACGGGCGGCGGTTGTCACTTAACAGCAGGTGAAGCGCCAGCTCGCGTGCCACCTTGGGTAGAAGGAGATTACGCATACCCATCCTCGTAACTTTTGGCCCTTTCACAATATTAATCGATGCAAGGATACATGTTACTTTTACTCTGACAGTCTCACCATTTCCAGCATCCCATCTGTGTCGTTCCCCACCATCTGTTATTTAATTATAAACAGCATGGCGTTACAACCGCGACAATAAATGAAAACACTTCTAATGCTACTTGCACATAATCTTAAAAGAATATAAACATTAAAAACCCATAATTAAAAAATAATAATTTTTAAACAAACTAATAAAATAAGAAAGAAACAAAATTTGTAACATCCTATACAACTACAACTGACTGTTTCATACATTCAGAGACTTTTTCATTTGTCGCCACAATGTCGCTTTACAAGTCTCTCCTTGTAACAGTATATTTTATCTCTTTTAAATTCATTCAACCAATTCATATACTCTATGAACTTTACTTTAAGTTTAATATGTAAGGATGTTCTAATATTATTTGTTTTGGAAAATTTTATAACCCTGTATATACTGATGTTTAAAAAAAGTAAATGTTTAATACAATTTTAAAAAGTTATCCTCTATAAGTGTGTTATTTTATGGTCGCGTTAGTAGCGCCACGTTGTATAGTACCACACTTACAAATTGATAAATTTATTTTATAATACTAATTTCACATGTTTTTAGGACAAACTTACTTTTCTAAGTTCTTCTGCCATAACTACGTCTTGCATCTCTTGACGTGTGTAACTTCGGGAATGATACACTTTCCTACCATTAGTTTTCATCTCTAATGATGGTAGCTGATTGAAATAACAACTAAATTCCTGTATATTGTTCAAACTTTGCAATACAGCATTCATAAAACATGTATTTCCTAAGTTTTTTAACCCAACTATGCGCTTCTCCCTCTGGCTTTTACCATTGCATGGGGACATTTTCTTCTCTTTGTTTTTTGTAGGTTGAAATGTGCTCTCTGCTGAATTGCTATCATCTGAATGAGATCGTTTACGAGATCTAGGTCTTAGACTTCTGATGGGCTCTTCTGAAATCTGAAAAGTAAAAAAATGTAATAAATAAATATTTATTCCTGGACGTACTTTGCACAATGTTATCTATTCCCATATTTTGCACAGTTTAATATGGGAATAGATAACATTATAGGTATTAGGCAATAACGAAAAATAAAAAAATAATAGAAAATTAATAGAATTCCAAAACATTTATAAACAATAGCTATGTCTAATAATGCAGTGTAATAAACTTTAGACTATATTTTAAATATTAAATGTTTAATCTTTAATTTCACTACCTAAATGAAGTAGTGATATATTACAATAATACATTATAATAATCACCTTTGATTTTGTTTGTTTACTTTCAATATTTTCTGTCAAAGAAGAAGAGTGATTTAATGTCAAGAGGTAGTCAGATGTAACATCATTGCAACTACTACTAGATGGAGCTACAAGAGATATTCTGTTTTCTTTGCAATCTGCAGATGAAGGCTCATCATTTCGAACTGTTTCTATTATGGATCTATTTGATTTATCAACATTTTTATCATTATCTTCAAATTGATCTCCATTTCTAGATTCCTGGAGGCAGTTTTCATCTCTTCTTAAATCAATTATAGACTGCCTTATTTCCACAATTTTTTTGTTATCCAAATCATTGCCAACATAATCATCACATTTATAACTGGAAAAAAAAACCATTTTAAAGTTAATTGATTCATTAAGCAAAGCTCAGTGGTTTTCATGTAGACTGCAATTTGAATTAACACAAGTAAAGTAAAAAGTACCAATATACTGAATAAACATCACAGCTCATACAAAGCTGGTGATCCAGTGTCTCTGCATGGGCTTTGGCATGACCATTGATGTATCTTCCACAATTGACAGCGCCACAATGTAAGCACATCCAATTCTGCTCCAATGTTGAGCATGCTGTAGATACAAAGACATGAAAAAGAAACTTAATATCATGTTTTCTATAAAAAGTTTTCTTGTGAAATATGTGTTACGGGTAGAAGTAATTCATATCTATTCAATAAACCAATATATTTTATTCAATTATATTCAATTTGTTTGATTTATGCACTAATGTTTAAAATTAAAAACAGTCATCAGTTTTTTTATGAACGAAAATGAGGAAGAATAAAACATAAATTAAATTACTTTCATTATAAAGGTATATTAATATTTGGTCGTATGTATGCGGTTCGAAGTAGGTTTTTTATTTCAGACGCGAAACAAGCAAAGCGTCAATCGCACGTCACTGGCGGTCACCCATGCCCACCCCCCTCCGCCTCACTGCGAACAGCTGATTATTTTAAGTTCGCTGTATTGATTTTTTGATCTAACCTCCCATATTGAACACTAAACAACATTGCTGCAATGTGTCTAATTTAAATATTTTTATTGCCTAATATATAAAAAGCACTCCGTTTTTTTACCTGAACAATTGAAGTTCTTTGTGATCGTGCTGTCTTGAAAGATGAAATCCCTATCCACCTTGACGTTATCTAATAAATGCGTGCAATCCATTATTCATGCTAAATTATATATAGTAAAAATCAGAATAAAAAGTATTTTTTATTCATAGAACTATGGCAAAATAATAAACCTAGCTTTAGCAAGATACTCAAGCTTCAAACGTACGAGGACGAGGACGTCTTCACACTTTGGGCCAGTGTTACCAACTGGTCAAAAATAATACTCCCTAAAGATTTATATAATTATTTAATATATTTAAGGGCACGCAATCATCAGTTGCAATGTTTTTATATTTTGAGTAAGACATTATACATTCAATATTATAGTTTAGGGTGGAAGTGGTGTTTCACGGATTAGGTGAATTTAAAATATACATACAAGACAGTTAGCACAGCACCATTATATTTATATTTTTTAAATAATTTGTTTAGTTATTTTCTTTGAAAAATATGAATAAAATTGAACCCCTAAAATATTCCCAAAGAAATTTACCTCCTAAATTACTTTGTACATATTTTCTTCCTAAATTTAGGAAGAAAATTCCTAAGTTGGTATTCCTGCTTCGGGATGGTGTGCGAACGAGATAACCAGCATTGAAGCGAAAGCAAACACAACAATTATTGTGTTCGGATACACATCCCATTTTTTATTTTTTCATTAACTATTAAAATATTTTTTTTTTATTACAAGACAAGAAGTTATAATAAGTATAGAGTATTTGAAATAACAAACTATAGCGTTTAGTTAAGTCCTTATTGTATATCAGGGGTGAGCAACCTTTTTAATCAATGGACCAATTTAAATTTTAAATTTTTTGGCGGGCCGCATATAATAATTTACGAAACTTTATTTATACTAAATATTAGAATAAAAAAATATTAAATTAAAAAAAATCATATACAAATTTTAATGCAAGGTAAAAACAAACAAGAAAAGAACAGAAAAATGAACAAAAAATATTTCGGTTCAGTATGTACTACCATTTTATAATAATTAATTTTATAACAATATATTGATGGGAGAAATTCGATAAAATAAAATCAATTTTAGAAATACTTGGCGGGCCGCATAAACATGTTTAACGGGCCGCGCGTTGCTTATCCTTGTTGTATATGGATCTTAAAATGTAAGGAAGACCAATTTCATATGTAAACCTTTTGTTGAATAATGTTTAACCAAATTTAATTAGTAATAAGTTACAGGACTCGTTCCTTTCTCCACGATACTAAAGGGGCCCATTCACTATCCTGCCTGGCAATCCGCCGTGCAGGACTGTAAAGCAGGCTGTAGCCCACACACTATCCTGCAATCCGTCCATCATAGTGTCAGTGTTATTGTTGTAATAATTCTGGATTTACGTGAAGTATCGAAAAAAAAAAGAAAATAGCGATTCTGCTATGTTTTTAGATAAAAGGTTTTATTAATAAATAACCTTTCCTCACATTATCATACTAATATACATAAAATTTAAGTAATAACACAGGCTTTTATCAAGTTAAACTATTTCAATATAAAATAGTTTTTGAGCTTAGTTTAAGGTTATCAAATCAGTCGGGCGTCCCGGGATGCACACGTTTTCTTTTTGTCTATAATAAAGTACCTAGTCCTGTGTAGATTTTTTTCAAACCTGTGAATAAAATTTAATTCCTAAAAATATTTCTAAAAAAAAACCTCCTAAATAATTTCTATTGAAAATATTTACTGTGTAAATTTGCAAAAAAAACTCCTAAGTTAGCATCCATATTTTCGTATAAATAGCGTAAATTTGCTAAAGGCTTAGTGCATATTTTTTCTTCATATGGCAGCACTGCCGATTCGCAGGACGGCCAAACCACTGATTCACCTGCGCGGCGGACTGCAAGCGGTGGGCGGAGCTTGCAGGATGCAAGGCGCGTCCTGCTCGGTATTGCCAGAAACTGTGCAGGCCTGCAACACCATTCACGATCCTGCATAGAGCGGCGGACTGCCAGGCAGGATAATTAATGGGCACCTTAACACGTCAACCCGTAAAACATTTCACCGACTTGTTGAAAACAATTCTGCAACTATATTAGAAATGTTCTTTCCAGAGAATCAAACATATTTTTGAAAACAGGAAACATTTTAGATTTTCTTTTGGGACAAAAATGATAAAATTAAGCCAGGCAATTACAGTCAATAAGCAATCTTTGTATCTCAGAAGAAATAATTAAGCAATGTAAACTGCACCGATAACCGTTGGGGAAGAAAGGTTCTCGAGTGGCAGCCTCGTACTGGCCATCGCAGTGTAGGACGACCCCCCACTAGATGGAGTGACGACCTGTGCAAATGTGCGGGAAGTCGATGGATGCAGGTGGCTCAGGATCGTACTTCGTGGCAGTCTATGGGGGAGGCCTATGTTCAGCAGTGGACTCAAACAGGCTGAAATGATGATGATGATGATGAAACTGCACTGTTATTCTTTTCAAAAAAAAACGAATGAATTAACTAGTTTATTATAGGTGGCAACACACATTACTATGGGTGTTGTAAATGACAATGAGCAGCAGTTATCACTTAACTTCAGGGAAACCGGAAACCAGCTCATTTGCCATCTTCTCACAATTTTCTATACAATCTGGGCAAATACACAGGAAAAGAATGGATGCAGGTGACTTAGGATCATAGTTTTTGGCAGTCTATGGGGAAAACCTATGTTTCACAGTAAACTCAAACAGGCTGAAATTATGATGATGAGGTAGTTATTTAATAGCGTAAGATGATTTTGAATGGCTAAGTTCTAAAATTCTGAGTCTTAAATAATGGTATTAAATTGAAAAATGGAAAGTATAAAACCAGTTTAAGTTTTAAAGTTTATTATCCTTAATTACGTCTGCCACCATAGCCTCCTTGAGTTGCAGGCTGAGTCAGTTGAAGGCCATTGATATTGTTGAAATCAAGCATCTTCAACATCTCCTTAGTGTCAGGATCCACTTCAATGATATCATGCTCAAGGGCAGAAACTTCTGGTACATAGTTATCACGTCTCTCACGCTCTTCTTCTTGTAGCTTAATTGAAATGCCTCGTACTTGTGAGTGTCTTAGACGTCTCATCAAATGGGTGGCAAACCTAAAAAACATTTTAATTAAAGGAATTTAAAGAAATATTTTGTTTATGATTTGCTTATACAACTAGAAAAGCAAATGGTTACAGCCAAAACACGTCATAGGAATGTTAAAAACATTCGATAAAACCAAAATCCTAAATTATTCGCTCAACGTGATATGTAAAATTGGATAAAATAAATATGTAAGGATAACTAATATCTTTTTCTAGAACTATTAACCTGTCCTTACTAAAAAATACATCTGATTCTCGTGACAACAAAGATTACTGACGACAATGAAAAGGGACTTGGAAGAAATAAAAATTAAAAAAGATCATGGTTTTTGGGATCTTAATTCGCATTAATTTGGAACTAACACAATTTTTAAAATAAATGCAGTTGTAAGGAATCCGCCTAGGAATTAGTTTAATTAACTTACCCAGCAATTTTATTACGAAGAGGTTTCGTCGGGATAATAGCAATTTCCTCGCATATCCTTTTGTTTGTGTCAAAATCAAGAGTCAATCTTGTGTAATATTTTTCAATGATAATTTTTGCCGCTTTCTTGACGGTCTTAGTCCTGACACGACCCTGTAATAAAAAAGGTTAAATACCAAATGCACAATTTATTCCTCCATTTTTATTAATACTAGTTTACTGCGTGACTTTATTTATTGAACGTACTAATGATTAAAGTGATATAAGAAGATTTAATGAAAATAATTATTTACCATTGTGAAAACACAGCAGCCTTCAATTGACAGTTAACAGAAAAGATCAAAAGAGGTACAGATTGATTACAACTTACAAGTGTTGTTCATATTGAAGCGTCACAGATTAAAAATAAAAAAACTGCGTCCTATCGACTAACAAACCCAATATAAAAAATATTTCATAACATTTGCTTCTTTTAATTAAATTTTTAAACGTTTGATAAATATATTAAGAAATATAGGAACTTTGGCTTTCATAATGTAATTAAACTTAGTGGGTCCAGTTGTTAAGCTATTGGCTTCGCCGCTAGAAGTTATGGTTTCGATTCCCACAGGGGTCAAATGTTTACCACAAATAAATGTTCATAATCAAGACATTTGTTCCCATGAAGAGTTGGCGTCAAAGGTGTTTGATCATATAAAATCCTGGTCCATGATAAGGTATACAATTATATAAAATTTGCAACCATTAGTCTTTTTAATAGTCATAAGATAAAGATATATCAACAATCAAGCTCTGCAATTGCCCCTGATACACTTCGGCCAATGGTACTTTACATTGGAATTTAGTAATAAGAGTTGTCACTTTGTCAGGTCCGTATTACTTTCTTTCCTCTTACTTATATCGTACCGTCGCTGTGCAGGTTATAGATGATGTCCTCCGACCGCGACGAAGTTTTAAGACTTTTAGAGCTGCCAGGCTATCAGCCAACTACATAAACTTACAATCTTATGAAGTAAAACTTCTTTACGCCCGTTTGACTGGAGAAGTAAGCTGATAAAAACGAAAAGTGTGATTGTGTTCCAGCGAACGGTGATTCCTTTAATTTATCAATAAAAACCCATAATAAATTTAAATATTTGTTGAAAATTACTATATTTACATGTATACAGCGTGTCGTTACAACCGCGACAATAAATTAATACACATATAGAGGATAACTTTTTCAAATTGTATAAAGAATTTACACTCTTTAAACATCGATATTTACCGAGTTATTAAATTTTACAAAACAAACATTTTTAGGACACTTTTACGTGTAAAACTGTAACGTAAAGTTCATTTGTAATGGTCACAAAGGTTATGAATGAGTTGAATGAATTTAAAAGAGATAAAACGATGTTAGAAGGAGAGGCTTGTAATGCGACGTTGTGGCAACGAATGAAAACGTCTCTGAATGTATGAATCAGTTAGTTGTAGTTCTGTAACAAATTTTGTTTCTTTTTCCTTTAATCAGTTTGTTTGAAAAATATTTTTTTTTCATTATGGATTTTTTAACTTTTTATATTTTTTAAGATTTTTGGCAAGTAGCGTTAGACGTGTGTTCATTTATTGTCGCGGTTGTAACGACACGCTGTATATTATACATGTATGCATGTATAAGCAAATGTATTAGGTCTTAACTTATGAAATTGCCGTTTTGTATGAAATAAGTTATAATGTTTTTTTTTAAACATTTTGGTCCGTACCTCAAAAGGTAAAAAAGGAACCCTTATAAGACTCTCTTGTCCGTCTGTCTGTCCGTGACCGTGTCACCACCAATTTTCTCAGGAACAGGAGAACCTAGCTAATTGAAATTTATATCATATACTAAGGTCTATAGTCCACAATAGTTATATAAAAATCAAGGTCGTGTGTCAACACAATAAAAAGATATGGGTGAATTTACATTTTTGCGAAAACTCGTAAATACCAAAATTTATCTAAATTCTCTTTTTTTTTATTTTTCGGCATTTTCCCAGCACAAGTTGCTGTAACATAGCGATGTTGTCATGATACCATGACAACATCGCGGGTTGTCATGGTATCCGCCATAGTTACCCATAGTTACTAATAAAATAAGGGTTGGTACGGATTACTAAACGATTTAAATATTCATTAAATTAAATTGTGGTGTGAAAACATTAATTTTAGTGAAAGAAACGTCGAAGAAAGTTGCGGGCATGGTCGTGTAAGAGGACAAGGAAGGGGACGTCATGGTGCCGAGGCCTCTGTAGTATTTATCTTGTTTTATCATTATTCTTATTTATTTATTTTTTATATCAGATGTTAGCAAAGGAGCTGGTGGTTCACCTGATGTTTAGTGAACACCGCCGCTCATAGACATTTGCAACACACGCGGGATTGAAGATGCGTTTCCACCACGCGATTAAAATAACGTGGCCCCGGCTCACTCACTCAGGTGAAGCGCAAAAGTATTACACTTCCACAGCCACTTCACGCCAGTCTTCTGTGAGCTCGCGGTAATTCCCCAACGGCAGGGCCATTCGTACAACTGTGTTGCGTGGTCGTACCACAGTAAAAACTTATAGTAATAACTTATTTTTTTTTTATTTCAATAATAGTTAAATCCGTGCTGAAAGGCAAATAGCACAACGCAGGGTTGCGGCGTTGTTGCCTTCCGTCAAGAAAGAGCTGCTGCAGAAAAAAATTATAAAATATTATTATTATTGTTACTAATTTTTACTTCAAAATATCTAATGATAACTTATAAAAAGTGAAATTTTGTAAGTAGCCATTAAAAATTACTTAAAAATATGTTGTTTAATTTTCAAACATCGTTTGTACGAGACCTTAAATGGCTATTATTTTAGCTCTGTGCCTAGCACACAAGGTTGCATCTTATCTAGCGGGGAGTAGCTCATTTCTTCTAAGTTTTTCTTCATGATTGTAAATAACTTTCAAAATGATTCTGGTATTCTTGGAAAGGATATTTAATGTAGTCTATTTTAATAATGTTAAAGTGGATGTAAAGTTAAAGGGTTTTAGCCAAATAAATGTTTTATTAAGAGATATCAGTTTTCATCACAGATATTCAAGTTATTTTTTAGAGTTGCAAATAAAATTATATCTCTTGATTTTTAGATAATTAGATTGCTTAGTTATTCAGCTTATTAACTGTGATTCGTTTTTTGGGATAGTATTTGTAGTTTGCGAATGGCAAGCGTTTTTATCGCCAAAGTCGGTAGTGGTATAATGACATTTTATTTCTCGCGTTGACGCTGGCGCCTGACACCAATTTGACAACGCGTGGCGTTGGCGTGCCAGTTAGAGCACATTCAATTTTTTTCATTGGTTTTACATTATCTGTACTCCATTGAACCGGTTGTGTCAATGTCATATATTACCTATTGGTTCGTATTTTAGTTCGATTGCACTTCGTTCCAGAGTTGCCAGCTTTGGAGTTTTTCCCTCAAATTTAGGGGGTGAAGAAGCGCTTTGGGAATTTTTAGGGGCGTTATACTTTTAAGCACATTATTTGACAGTTTATATTATTAACATAGCAGCTTAGTAGCATCTAGTACGGTTTCTCACTACTAAGAATGCGGAGTTGAACTATGACAGAAATTATTTTTTTTTTCTAAAATGGCCAGTGCTAAACTTCTATCCTACCTGATGGTAATTGGCGATGCAGCCGTTGATGGTAATCGCACTAGCGCAGTAAAAACGTATTAGTTCTTGCCTTAAAGACGCCAATCGGACGCCAGCAGGCTGTTGTGTGCGCAGGTGAATCGCTTCGTTCTTGTGCGTGAAACGTGGACATCATAAGGCTGGAGCTCTACCAAACGCCTAGGTGACCGATGATGTAAATTCCAAAATGCATCCTGTAGAAAACCGAGAGGCTGGCTACTCTGCGCTTGTGCTTAAGGTTAGTGTTATTGGTTTTAACAAAGTTAGGTCACCAATGAGCCTTTGCGCATGCCTCTCCGTTGAGTCCAAACAGCCAGATGACATTTTGCAGGTCCAGCCAGGGCCGGATTTAATGGTTTGGAGGCCTCGGGGCAGCAAAGGAGTGGAAACACTTTGGCCCCAAATTATTTTTCAAATATGATGAACAATTTATTTTCAGTTGAGTTTTACAATAAATAATTTATTGTGAAAACAGTATAGACCTTTTATTATTTAACGAACATATATATATATATATATATATATATAATCGGAAACAAGAATTATCTAAAATGAAGGTTTAGTGCTAATTAACGGAACTTTTGGGGTTTTTTCTTTTTTTTTACAAAGTAATGTGTACTAGTTTAAATTTGAGTTTTTTTCCGAGGTCTACCTATCCGCGGCTGTAGCCCCTGTTGCCCTCCCCTAAATCTAGCCCTGGCACCAGCCCAAGTATGGTCCTCCACACACGATAAGGAGAACTAGACACTTTTTAATACACAGTCTCTGTGTCCGTTTAGACGCCAGAAGTACTACTTTTTTTATCATTCACTATGAATCTCATTTTTGGGTTAATGGTAAATATTTGTCGTCTAAAGAAATTATAAGAGACAATATCATTTAAAATTAAATTCCCTAAAATTTTTGTTTCCTTATAATCTGATGAAAAGATCAGATCAACATGTTCTCTGTTTGCAATATCTTTCACTGTCTTTATACCATTAATTTCGAAACTAAGGCAAAACTCGTGGCGCTATTTACCATTTATTATTTTTTAATAAAGTAAAAGTAATAGCCTATACATGTCGCACTGCTAGGCAACGGCCTCTTCTATACAGAGGGTATAAGGGCATCACGCGGCCCCACTGCGAATTCTGATATCTTCGAAATATATTTTTTTTTTGTTATTATTTCGAAAATATGCAGGTTTCCTCACAACGTTTCCTTCCCGCGTAGCACGTGATAAGTCAGCACTTAAAGTTTAAAGTTTTAAAAACCTTATTGGTACTGGCACCGGGGATCAAACTCAGGTTGCTGGAGTATATTGAATTAAAGGCGTGTGCCCGGACACTGAGCTATCACGGCTCTATCTTTTAATAACATTATTTTATTAGGAGGACTTAAGCTATAGGAACGAATATATTCGAGTGTTGGTAACACTGCTGCGTTTTGTTCGCCTTTCGCTTGCTCCACTGTTCGCTCGTGTTCGTTCGTTCACTTCGTTCGTTAATTTTGCCGCCTTGTATCGGTGTGGCTGAGACCGGCTTATTATAGCTCAAAATATTAATTACACTATTTAACAGAGTGTAGTTTGTAGTTTTGAGTTAAATATTTAATAATTCTTGATTAATTTGTGAAAAAATAAACAAGAAAAATGTTTTGGGGTAAGTTTAAAATTTGCCGACTGATTACCTATTGTTACCACGTGTTAGCAACGACTCTTCATTTCTTTACTTTAACGTTGATTTCAATATTAAAATTTATTGACTAATGTTAAGAAATAGCTATGATTTTTTTAGATAACAAAACTGTACTTATAGCTTTATTACCACATGTGGACTTCCACACAGCATGCGTTAGAATGAAACGATTTCGTTTAAATAGTACCTTGAAGTTATTTCAAAATAAATCTTATTAAGATTATCAGAGTATTTCATGTTTTTGATATCTTTTAGACGAAGAAATCGGTCGAGATACAATTTCTGAGTTGTCTTTCCGAGTGAGAAGACGATGTTAATTTAAACATGTATGATAGAGTGAATTAGTCATTTAATATTGGAAAGAGTGAGTGTGATTTGAAAAGTCAGAAGGAAGAAAAACCATTAACACATAGGATAAAGATGATTAAAATAGGACTTTATTTAATTCTTTTTTTCAGGACTTATTATGGAACCTAATAAACGGTACACCCAAGTGGTGGAAAAGCCTTTCCATATTTCACAAGCAGCAATGGACATATCCACAGGTGACAATGACCCATGCCAGGTGATGGTAGTGGTTGATGGCAAAAATTTCCTTGTTTGCACACTACAAAAGAACAAATGCATTCAAGTGCCATTAGACTTATATTTTAAAGCTGGAGACTCTATATCTTTCTTGACTAATGGTAAGAGCAAATTTCTTTGTATAGCTTAGAATTTTAGTTATAGATGGTTTGATAGTAAGATGCTTCTCTTTTATAAGGTAAGTGCAATGTCCACTTAACTGGATACTTGGATCCTGAATTTGAAGAGGAACCGTCTGATGATGAAGAAGCTGAGGAAGAAGAGGAGGAAGCACCAGCTCTTGTTCCAGCAAAGAATAAACGTAAACTTGAGAACAGTACTGAGTCTACGACAAATAAGAAGGCCAAGGTAAATGTATTTTTATTTACTACAATATTTTTGCTGTTAGCTATGTTATTATGACAAATAAAAGAAAGTTTCATGTTTTACTTTAAAGCGTTTTATATATAAGTTATCCACAAAATCAAAGTCATGAATATAAAATATTTGTATTTGAAGTTTTTTTCACTTCCGCGCCTGTAAGAGGTCAAAATTATTTAAATTTAAAGCTTTCTTTTAATTATATATTTAAAACCCACATGCTTGAGAAATATAATTCAAAACTAATATGATATTATGTGATAATTCCCAACAGCAAGCCAAAAAGGTTGCAAAGAAAGATGCTGCTGCTGCTGACAGTTCAGACTCTGATGATGAAGGAGATGACCTCCAAAAGTTCCTAGACGGGGAGGACATGGATACAGATGATAATGATGATTCTTTTAAAGTAAACACGTCTGCTGAAGGTGATGATAGGTATGTCTGATAAAAGCCATTATAGTACTTCATTAGAACATACATAATTACACATGAAATATTGCCTCAATTTCTGAGTTTGCCATTTGCATTAGCAATAGTGTTACCGCAGCACATATCTGTTTTGAACTGTTCCTTGATATTTATGTTGAATTTTGTTTTAGTAAGTTTTTGAATAAGTTGTTTTTATTAAACATATGCAAGTCAATATTATTTTTTTTTGTAATTGGACGTAGAGATTTAAAATAAACAACACAAATTGTTGTCATGTGTGGGAAGCCATGACTACAAAGTTATCATTAATGCTATAATACAACACATTGTCGTACAGCTGCTGCCATTTACGAAATTAACTTTAATGTTACATTGCAAAACAACAGCACAAGGTGCACAGTTAAGTAGCACATGCTGTAATTTTCTTATGTTTATTATTTAATTTAATATATCCATTCCACATAGAGATAGGCTTATTGTGATCTACAATTTAATCTCTAAGCATCATAACCCAGTTTGAACTTTAGTTGTTTTTTGTTTTGTGTGTGCATTTTGGGATTAAAATTCTTTCCTATAGTTAGAGCCACTTTGTTCATTTTGTTAGTGATGAAGAGGACTCAGATGAAGATGAAGAAGAAGAGGAGGAGGAGGAGGAAGATGAGGATAAAGAGGAAGCGGACACTTCACAAGAAGTGGACACCACTCTTGACACAAGCAAAGAAGACAGTAAAGTTGACATGTCCAAACTGACCAAGTCACAAAAGAAGAGACTTAAGAAGAAACTGCAGCAGCAAAAGAAAGATCAGCCACAAGTAAATGGAGTTGACAAACCCAAGGTAGCTAAATAGGCTTATCTCCATTCATATTTTACATTAAATTTCTATATTATTAATATTGAAAAAGATGGCAAGTAAGCTGGCTGTTCACCTGATGATAACCGCCACCATGGCAACATCCATATAGGATGTGCAAATGTGATGCTACATTTTGATTAAGTGGTCACCAGTTGTCCAATCTCTGGACAAAACTCAGAAGTATAACACTTCCATTTCATGCTGGTCTTCTGTGAGTTTGTGGTACTTTCCTGCACAGAATGGGCAGGCCATTTATGCAACAAACTTTGCATGATCTTACCACAGTTGTTCTTAACGCTAGTTGTTTATAATGAACACTTCATTGATTTTTATTGATTTTTTCGCTTTTTAACGTTGATATGTGCCATACACGCTTTATAGTATTTATGGTTATGGAACAGGTTTTCCAATTATGTTTCTTGTATTAACTTAGTGATAGTTCATTATCTGTGTACTTGCTTATTCCATATACTCGAGCAACCCGAATTTGATCCTCCGATGCCGGCACAATGAAATTGTTGATTTTAATAATATTTTAATAGACAACATATTATATACATTAAACAAAATATTTTTAAGGTATATGAAGTCAGCTGATCCACAGTAGTGGACTATGTCCTAATAACTTCTATACAGAGGATGCCTTTGCCCAGCAGTGGGACATATATTGGCTTTTTTTTTTTTTATGCCAAAAAGTTGTCAAACGAGCAGACGGTTCACCTGATGTTAAGTGAATACCGCCGCCCATGGACATCTGCTACACTCGAGGGTTACAGATGCGTTGACAACCTTTTGAAAATTGGGCTCCGGCTACCTCACTCACCAGACGAAACGCGAAAGTATTTGTCATACTTCCACTTTACGCTGGTCTTCTGTGAGGTCGTGGTACTTACCCGGACGGGCCTGCCCATTCGTGCAACAGCCGAGGCTGCTGCGTGGCCCTACCACCGTAAAACTTTACTTATTCTGTCATTATTTTTCTTGGTTAACAAAAAATATAATTACATTCGAAAATGTTTGGAAGTAAGTTTAAAAAGGTTACAACTTCCAATACCGTTCTAACATTTTATTACAACAAATGCATTTGTTTCAATAGAAAGAGAAACAAGAGGGACAACAAAAGGCAGAAAAGAAGAAGCCTGAGGCCAAAAAGGAAGCTCAAGAGGAAAAAGCTGATAAGAAGGAAAAGAAAACATTAAGTGGTGGTGTTGCAATTGAAGATTTGAAAGTGGGCTCTGGACCTGTTGCCAAGCCTGGTAAAGTTGTTATGGTAAGTTAATGGTTCATTAAAATAAAATGACTAATTTAAAAAATTAATAAATTCATGCAGATGTTTTGAGATGGAAGAAGCAAAAAGGGTACAGGAGGTAGGGGTAAGGGTACATTTAAATTGTGGAAAGCAGTTTATTTGACAGGATATTTAGGTAGCAGTATATTTGGCAGGATATTTGAGGCATATCAGATAGCAAACTTTCATTTCATACATGATACTTGAATAGCAAATCAATTAGTTTGGTTATTTACAAAGGATTGAGTAAACCCAAGACTTGTTTGGCCAATGTAAATAGCATTTAGTTTTCTAGGGAATCTAAGTGTTATTCACATTGGCATTGGCTGTTACCAATGGATAATTGTTCTGAATCTGAATTGGAATTGATAATTGTTCTGAACCTAGTTGTTCCCAAGAAGGATAGACATGACAAGGCTATTCAAACCTACCCAATATATTTTATAGCATGATTCATAATTTGAGCCTCCTCCATCTGGTTAGAATAAGGGATAATGATCTTAAGAAAACCACTATTTTGCAGTATAATTCATTTTGAATAATGTATCTAGCAAATATGTAAAGTTCTTATACTTAAAATTTTAGAAATTGGAAATAATTTTTTTTGTTACTTCATTAGCCTGTGCAGAAATATTGTATAACATTTTTGAAGTTTTTCATTTTTCTTTTAACCAGGTTTATTATGAAGGTCGCCTGAAGCAGAACAACAAGATGTTTGATAACTGTGTAAAAGGTCCTGGATTCAAATTCAGGCTTGGTTCCAAGGAAGTGATCAGTGGATGGGATGTAGGTGTAGCGGGCATGAAGGTTGGAGGAAAGAGGAAGATTATTTGCCCACCCGCTATGGCGTAAGTTAAATGAAGTCAATTTTTTTAGCACAGAGAAATAATATAATTTTAAATTTTGGAGATATCTACAGTTTTCTTTAGAAAAGAAATTAATTTTTTTAACAATAAAAAATGTACCTTTATCTTTATTAGAAGGTTTCACTCTCGAGCAGGCAGGAAGCCTGGTTCAAAGGCCCAATTAAAATGATGTTTTCTCCAGTACAACAAAAATTACATTTATAATTATAATTAAACTTTACTGCTTTACATGCTTCATAGTCACATTTTACTATGTAGCTCGCCTTCAGGCTTTCTGCCTTTTGCAGATAAGTTTATAATTCATCTTTATTAATTAATTTTTTGATATGTGGTATTTCCAACAAGTGTCTTTTGTGCTCACAATGGTTCTTTTCAACTGTATATGGAACTTGTTCTGTTCAAGTTTTGACCAATCAATACCACTGTAAAACATTTAATGGCTTTTACGTGTATGTGACATCTTTTTTTCATTGATTGTACTTAATTTTGTTCAATTTTAAAATTTTGTACACAGGTATGGTGCTAAGGGCTCACCTCCAGTTATCCCACCAAATTCGACATTGGTATTCGAAGTGGAGTTGAAGAATGTAAAATAAGGCAACTTCAAGTATTTCTACAATCTATTGAATGTTAGGTATGAATGACATTGAAAAAGACGATACCGTCAGAATGTTTACTTTTGTGCCAATATGGGGTATCTGCAAGTTAAACCACCCGTAGATAAAATAAAAATCCACTTTCAATTTGTAACTGCATGCAGATGCTGCATATTGGTTTATTAGTATATAAGTTTATATGTTTTAAGAGCCAACTGAGCATATATTAATATTAAGTCTTAGCATTGTAAATGAGGAAACTTTCATGTTCATTTCTTGTTACTATGAAAACATTGAAAAAGAAAGAATAGAATCACCTTGCAAGTTATTTGAACATGTTGTCAAACTAGTGCTGTTTAGATAGTTGTAAGAATATTATTTGACATTTAAACTGTAAAATAAACATTCATAATAATTTCTTGTATTTACGCGATTACACATTATAAATGAAACTAATTTTACGGATTTATCGCGTTTATTTTTAATTTTAATTCCCGACGTTTCGAACCCTTTACAGCGTTCATGGTCACGGGACAGACTGAGGTGTTAGACGTCTGATTGTCATAGTTAACCCGGGCTACCGTCAGTTTTTGAATTATTAATTTTGTGTCCGATCTATGCAGAGGGAGCTAATTGTATCTTGTCTTGCAGTAGTGGTTCGTTTGGGCCTAGATTTAATTTTATTGATGACAGGATCCCAAGCTGATGGTAGTACCCAACCTTCTTCTCTATTGAAATTAGGGTGTTTTTTTAATTTCAATAGCCTCGCGAATCATCCTTGGGAGGAATCGGTGTTCTTTTGCAAGGATCTGTGGTTTGTCAAACCTGATGTAGTGGTTGGGTCTATTCAAAATGTGCTCACAACTGCAGACTTGTTTAATCTATTGTGTTTGATGTCAGCTATATGTTCTTTCACGCGGGTTTTTATTGCTCTTTTCGTTTGACCTATGTAAGAGAGCCCACATTCACAGTCAAGTTTGTACACTCCTGGATCTTGCAGAGGGATATTACACTTGACAGATGGTAAAAACTGACTAATCTTCTTCAGCGTCTTGTAGAATGTATTAATTGAAGCCTGCTTTAAGATATAGCCAATCTTGTCGGTGACTCCTCTGACGTATGGTAGAACAGCAGGTACTCGCTCCACTGTGGCTGGTTTCACTCGGTCACTGTGACGTAGGCGCGGTGCTCGAAGCTTGTTGTCATGCAGAACTTGCTTGACATGTTGAAGCTCAGCGGCCAGGTGTTGTTTGTCACAGATCCCTTGTGCTCTCTGAAACAAAGATTTACCCCACGGTAGCTAACTGGGATGGATGGTGGTGAGAATCACCGTTTAGGTATCTATTTGTATGGGTTGTCTTCCTATACACCTAATCACCTAAACGGTGATTCTCACCACCATCCATCCCAGTTAGCTACCGTGGGTAAATCTTTGTTTCAGAGAGCACAAGGGATCTGTGACAAACAACACCTGGCCGCTGAGCTTCAACATGTCAAGCAAGTTCTGCATGACAACAAGCTTCGAGCACCGCGCCTACGTCACAGTGACCGAGTGAAACCAGCCACAGTGGAGCGAGTACCTGCTGTTCTACCATACGTCAGAGGAGTCACCGACAAGATTGGCTATATCTTAAAGCAGGCTTCAATTAATACATTCTACAAGCCGCTGAAGAAGATTAGTCAGTTTTTTACCATCTGTCAAGTGTAATATCCCTCTGCAAGATCCAGGAGTGTACAAACTTGACTGTGAATGTGGGCTCTCTTACATAGGTCAAACGAAAAGAGCAATAAAAACCCGCGTGAAAGAACATATAGCTGACATCAAACACAATAGATTAAACAAGTCTGCAGTTTGTGAGCACATTTTGAATAGACCCAACCACTACATCAGGTTTGACAAACCACAGATCCTTGCAAAAGAACACCGATTCCTCCCAAGGATGATTCGCGAGGCTATTGAAATTAAAAAACACCCTAATTTCAATAGAGAAGAAGGTTGGGTACTACCATCAGCTTGGGATCCTGTCATCAATAAAATTAAATCTAGGCCCAAACGAACCACTACTGCAAGACAAGATACAATTAGCTCCCTCTGCATAGATCGGACACAAAATTAATAATTCAAAAACTGACGGTAGCCCGGGTTAACTATGACAATCAGACGTCTAACACCTCAGTCTGTCCCGTGACCATGAACGCTGTAAAGGGTTCGAAACGTCGGGAATTAAAATTAAAAATAAACGCGATAAATCCGTAAAATTAGTTTCATTTATAAACATTCATGGGAAACATACCAGTGTGTTAATAAGTAATGCAGGGTTTGTTTAATTAAAAATATATTTTTGTAACTTTTTTATAATTGACATGCCATTATATATCATTTTACCCTATTTGCCCCATACATTTTAAAGCCTAACCTATTAAAGGTTTCAAATTTAGCAGTATATGAGTATCATATTAAAAAAAATATTTCCAACACTAACCAAGTTCATTAATTTCCCTTGTTTCAAAAATGTTTCATTGGTAAATACGTCAAGGACATAATAATGACACCCAAGTGTTATTTTATGAATAATTAGGTCTAAGAAAATTGAATTCTGTTGCAACAAATAAAACAAATTTTTAAATTTGACTTTTATTTAATACATGAAACATTTATAAATGCATATTTGGAATAATTACTGATCATGATATCTAAAATATTTGACCTTTAATTCAATAAATTATATGTAATATTTACATTCTACATTTATTTTTGACTAATCATTTTTTAGCCTGATAGTTTTTTCATTCTGTATATTCTCTTTATTGTCGAGTTCCGTACTATCACATTTATTTTCGACTTGTTTTTTCCGGAACGAACAGACACCGCCTTCACAATTAAATGGAAATTCTGTTTTAACATTGCCGTCTGCGTCTTTAACAGCCCATGGATTCCAAAAACGTAGGACGTATGGTTGTATAAATTTGTGCCATAAAAACAATAAAACTGGAATTATAAAACAGGGCACACATACCATGTTGTCGATTTCCCTGATCTTACTATATCTGATAAAGTTTCACAATAATGTACAGTTATTTCGAGTCGTGACTAATCGGTTTCAAATTTATGTATATTATTTGCAATTTTCAATACGTCGAAATTGGTGTTTTGTTTGATTTTGACCTTTCGACTTGACGTTGAGACTAGAGTCTGTGCCAGTGCTACCAACTGTTGAAAAAAAAACTAGAGAAATTCAAAAACCTAAAATTGAAAAATGAATTAAAAAAGTTACCTTTTTTTTAAATTATCTAACAAGGTAGAATAATTATCGGAAAAATTAATTATATGGGTAATAAAATCTATTTTATTTAAAAATTAATTAAATGTACCCTGAACATTGTTCATTGACATGAAAAATATTTATACAAATGAAATATATTTTATTATGAAGTTATGATTATAACTTGACATGAAAAATATTTATACAAATGAAATATATTTTATTAAGAAGTTATAATCATTTTCATAATAACATATCTTTATATTCATTATCTTTTTCCCATTTACCTGCATATTTTTGAACTACTCTAGGCCAATGCACCCAACACTAGTCACTGTTATACAGCGTGTCTTTACAATCGCGACAATAAATGAACACGCATATATGGGATACATTTTTAAAATTGTATTAAACATTTACATTCTTTAAACATCAATATTTACTTAGTAATGTAATAACATTTTCCAAAATAACGAATTTTAGAACACCTTACGTATAAAACTGTAACGTAAAGTTCATTTGTAAAGGTCAAAAAGCATATGAATGGGTTGAATGAATTTGAAAGAGACAAAACATAGTGTTAGAAGGAGAGGCTTGTAATGCGACGTTGTGGCAACGAATGAAAAAGTCTCTGAATGTATGAATAAGTCAGTTGTAGTTGTACAGAATATTCTAAATTTTGTTTCTTTTTTACTTAATTAGTTTTTTTGAAAAAAAATGTTTAAATATGGTTTTTTTGATGGTTTTTTTAACGTTAATATTTTTTTATGATTATTGGCAAGTAGCATTAGACATGTGTTCATTTATTGTCGCGATTATAAATACATGCTGTATACAATATACAAAGCTGCCAATACTATTATATTATATTTTGTGTTTAAAATGGTGTCTTTTTTTTCAAAAATGTAAATAAAATTTTATTCCTAAAAAATTTCTCCTGCTACAAAACTTCCATAGTACCGTAAAATGGGGTGAATAAAGATCCAGGGGTGAATAGGGATAAAACCAGGAAATATTTTCGACGCTCAATATTAATTACCAAGTCGTTACAATGTTTACCATTTTTTGTGCAATGATAGTAGATCTTTAGGACTGCTTAAGACAATACTGAATAGGCGCGAAATTAGCTGCAATCTGTTAAAAACTTCATTTGAAATTAGCCTCTCGTGCCGCCGTTTTAATCAGTGTTAAAAACTTTGCGCTCTAAAATTTATTTGGAAATAAGAGAGTACGAATGTTTGTTAAATACGTTATTTAGTGTTTCGGTCCTCATATACATAAAAGATAAGCTTCAGTTTTTAATAAATATTAATATTATTTCAATAATTAGAAAGTTGTAAGAAATCTGTTGTTTTTGGGGTGAATGGGGACGTCTCAAGTATGAATAACGACGAAAGCGGGGTTAAACGGGATAAGAATGAGGTGAATAGACACGAATTATGTATGAATAGGTACAGCTTCGTAGGGTTGTCACTAAACAGTTTTAACGACTTTTTAATATATCTAGGTAATAATTTGGTTTCATAATATTTTTGATTGGAAGTTTTATTTCATAAATACGCAATTATTACTTATGTATGGTTCTACGATATACGTATTAAAAATAGTTATCGTGTTATTTTAGTGTTTATGGAAGGAGTAGAAAATATTTATACAGCGTGTCGTTACCATCGCGACAATAAATGAACACACGTCTAACGCTACTTGCTAATAATCATAAAAAATATTAACGTTAAAAAATCCATAATTAAAAAAAATATTTTTCAAACTAATTAAGTAAAAAAGAAACAAAATTTGTAACATCCTATACAACTCGCGCCACAGCGTCGTATTACAAGCCTCTCCTTGTAACAGCACGTTTTGTCTCTTTTAAATTCATTCAACCCATTCATATGCTTTGTGACCTTTGCAAATGAACTTTACGTTACGCTTTTATAGGTAAGGGTGTTCTAAAATTTTTTGTTTTGGAAAATTTAATTCATGTTAGTTATTCATTTCATGTTAGCAAGGATTTAATTATTTATTACGCTAGGGTCAGCCCTGGTTAAATTCTCTATTCACCCCATTAACCCCAATTTCCGGGTGAATAGGAATAGCATATATTTTAACTTTTTTGCATTACTCGAAACGCTAATTGTATACTTTTATATTTCATAACAAAAAAAATATAACTACTCAATAATTTCGATCCCCATATAGGTATATATCTGTAAAAAACTTCCTTAAAATTCTTTGTAAAGTTAGGATTTGTCCCTATTCACCCCATTTTACGGTAAATTTTTTCTTCCTAAATTAAAGAAGCATGCTCTTAAGTTGGCATCAGTGGTCTGCGTGTTAGCCGTGCTTCCGGATCGCGAAAGTAAAATTACAGTGCTGCCAGCTAAAAATACAGTATTTTAAAAATTTTGTTACAGTGATGATTACGAAAGTTTAATTAATAAAAAGAAAAACAATCTGCATTTTCTTTTGACTTGTTCTAAATTAATGTTTTCTTTATATTTTTCATAGTTTTTTGTGGTCATTCAGACAATATTTCTTTAAGTTTATACAATTATCCGGTATCCACTGGCACGCCAGCGCCACGCGTTCTCAAATCGGTGTCAGGCGCCAGCGTCAGCTCTTTGCTTCTAACATTTAGGTAGCTGACCGAATAACTCCATTATACATCTGTGGTTGATCACTGTTTTTGTTCTCAAAAACAATAAAATCATCATCTTTAATAAAGGTGCTGCTCCTGCTGCTTCCATCCATTATTTCATATTTTTTGTAACTTGTCTTTATGGCTTGAATGGCAACATTTAGAATTATTTGCTTCTCATCTGCTGTGATGCTTTCTAGTAACCAACTCATTTTAGAACTAGGGTGGTAATATGGCTCGATTTACTTCAAGTGAGAGTTTAAAAACTTTTCCAAATCTTTTTACAAATAATTCAAACACTGCCCAACTCTATCCCTATTTAATTAACGCTCTCCGAATTAGTAGTAACGTTAGCTACAGAAATTTTCCAAGACAACCAATAGCTACCGTTCAAGCAGAGCCTGGCTCTCTGAGGCACCCACGAATCGGAATGCTAAACAGTTATTGAGTTGTTACTGGCTGTTGTCTAAGCCTTGCGTCTAGTTACTCCATGGAGCGGCCGCCAAAGTGACAAAAGAGCTTGGCGGCCTCCCAATCACGTATGAATACTAAAAAACCTGCCAAGTGCGAGTCGGAGTGGCGAACGGATTCGGGTACCGTACCATTATCTATAAAAACGGCAAAAAATCATGGCCGTTGTACGAGAGCCCAAACTAATGACAAACAGTTTATTTGTATTCAAAGCAGGGTGACCTTATGAATTTGTAATATAGATGCGTGTGGTATACACAATGATCATTTCAAATAATTCATTTTGTTACAAAACTTACATGGGCTAGCCTATGGTATATTGACGAATCATACAATCTCCCAACAACATTCATATTATATTTAAAATATAAAAACCTTTAACAAGCTTAAATTATAAACATAAAAGTAACATAATTATTCCAAACTCTAATTTACTCTTTCTTTAAGCAATATATACTGCTTACTACTAAAAAATGAACTTTTTAAAATTATTTTACAGAATATAAAGTAGCAATAACATTTTCCATAGAGAAAGATTAATTTACAAAGAAAATTATATGGAGTGATATCATGATATTTCTCATTTGTAAAACAAGAGAGATTGCTGAGATTGCTAAGTAAAATAGAGCTTTATTTTACTTTATAATAATATATAGTTTGAGGTTTTATTAGATACTGTATTTATAATAATAAAAAAAGGGTTACTTTCAGATAGAAAACCAAAAAGTAAAGCCCATTTAAAAGACAAATATTGTATTTTAGGCAGAATTTGCCTTTTTAAAGTAAACCTTTTAACTACTTGATCTTTTTATTATACTGTATATTCCTGTCATGAACTATTTCCACATTTCATAATGTTGATAACACAACTTCAAAAGATGATTATTATTTTGTACATCAATTTAACAATAGTATTTTACTTCTTACTTAATAAGCATTAACAAACTGTAAATATAACATTTTCTGCCACATTTAACTAAATTTATGGAATCTAAAGCACCTTGAATAGCAGGTATCTTATCTTTTTATAAATTTTTCAGTTATTAAACATAGGTTATATCATCTTCCTGTGAAATTACAACTACAATATAATTCAAAAAATATTTTCATTATTATTGCACATATATTTTTTGTATAAATAGTTCTTATCTGTAATTTACTTCATATTGTATATTTTTTCATCTATTAAAGGTAAATTAAACAATGACATTCATGTTACTTCTCTCATAACTTTTTAAGGCAATGAGTATGATTATTTACCAGAACTGTAACTATCAAAGTTCAAAACGAGAAATTTGGACAGTATTTCTTTCATACTTTTTTATCAAGTTCACATGTTTCATAATTAATCTTATATACATTTCTTAAATAAATTGTAGCATCTCACAACCCTATAAAATATTGTTACAATTTTGACTACAAAAAGCAATAATACTAATTTAGTATTAAGGTAATGACATACATAATATGACTAAAAGCCTATCGTTAGGAAACTATAGAATTGTTGAGATCTCGCTCACAGCACTAGTACTTACTTGTATTGAATTTAACAGTACCATACATTAATATAAATAATCTTTTACATTTTCAACAAGAATAAATAAAAAATATTTATTACATATGTATTCAATTAAAGGATAATAATAAACTAAAAATGTAACTTATTTCCATTACTCTTCCAATGTTTTGCTTTTGATTGACAAATGAATCGAAATGAATATAAGCACAGATACCGAATTGAGTTAAGTTTTATGCACATGTAGTCTTTAATGGCACAGATCGAATATAAAAATTCGTAGGACAATACATTCACTATTGCATAGTGTAGTCTCCTTCCACGCTCGCCAGTGCGCCCTTTAATGACGCTGGGAGTTCGGGTAGAGTGTAAATGGGATCGGAAATCGGCGGTAAAATTAACGCGTCGACAGACTTTTCATAGCTGGTGAGCGCCAAGTACAACTTTGACACTCGTGTGATTTCGTCGTCGGTCATCTCCACCGAGCGCAATTGCTTCTTGAACTCCGAATCGCCGCACTTCGAGCATATCTCCTCGATTACGTACGTTTTGGCGCGACTTTTCGCTGGCGCCGCTCTGCGTATGGGTTCGATGAATTTGTAACGCTTGCCTTTGCCGTTCTTCAATTTTTCTTCAGTGTCTGAGAGAAGGACGAAGAGGTCCTCGTGACGGCCCCTAGAGCAGCCCTTTCTAGCGATAATTTCTCCACCTCCCTCCATCAGAGCTGTACACAGCTGCTCCGAGGGGTTGTCAAAGTCATAATACACACATTTCGACTCTGAACTGGTCAGGCTGTTGTTTTCGAGGCGCAGGCTGTATCGGAGGCGGATTTTCTTTGGTTTGCTGCTGCATTTCAGGTACACGTGGATCGGTATTTCTATGGAAGTGCACCCTGATTCCTGGATCTCGTACGGCGGCTCTTGAAGAACTGTAAATGCAGAGCACACTATATAAATACACGTGACAAAACTAAAGCCCGTGCGAAATGACACTGCAGTTGTGAACGTAAGATCAGTAGCGCCTGCATATCTCTAGTTAAATAATAGTGATATTATTAAGAATGAATAAACAATTGCAGCATTCGTGATATCGCTTTTTGTTATCGTAAATAATGCTTCGGGCAAGAAGCTGCGTTCTTTAATTTATTCCCGTCGACGGTCGGTACACATTAGTGACGATAAATTGTTGCAACGGCTAGGTGTTTATTGTTAAAACTTCGCGGTGAATAAAGTTTTTACACGCTCTTACCTATTCCATCAGCCATGATTCATTCGATCGTCTAGATCTAGAAGAATAAAGCACTAGACAAACCTCTTATAATATATACAGCGTGTCGTTACCACCGCGACAATAAATGAACACACATATAGAGGATAACTTTTTTAAATTTTATTAAACATTTACATTCTTTAAACATCAATATTTACCGAGTTCTAAAATTTTCCAAAACTAACGTTTTTAGAACACCCTTATGTATAAAAGGGTAACGTAAAGTTCATTTGTAAAGGTCACAAAGCATATGATTGTGTTGAATGAATTTGAAAGAGATAAAACATACAGTTAGAAGGAGAGATTTGTAGTGCGACGCTGCGGCAACGAATAAAAAAGTGTCTGAATGTATGTATCAGTCAGTTGTAGTTGTATAGGATGTTACAAATTTTGTTTCTTTTTTATTTAATTAGTTTGTTTAAAAATATTTTTTTTTCAATTATGGATTTTTTTAACGTTTTACATTTTTTATGATTATTGGCAAGTAGCCTTAGACGTGTGTTAATTTATTGTCGCGGTGGTAACGACACGCTGTATATATATATATAACATTAACAATAACACTGATATGACATTATATTATATTATGATCGAAATGTTCATAACATATCTTCGATTATATACTTGTCTACATGGCAATGCAATTGACGCGCTCCAACTGTCTCCAATAGCGCGATAAGTGTGAGTACCGCTCGCGTACTTATTACTTCAAGATCCTAGGGCCGCCAGACGTCACGTATTTTCTGACGAACGAAATGTGTACGATTGAGTAGTGTTAGTATAAACTATCCACTAAGATCACATGCCTACCTGCTAGCTTGTTCAGTGGCCAATTTAAGGTATCAGATAATCAAGGTACATAAAAACATTACTCCCAGACACTTTCCGTGGGCCGTACGGCTTGCAGAAAGGTCCCACACGCAAATTTTGACGCTCCATTTTTATATATGTTCACCAGAAATTATTATTATTATACATGCATTATTATTTTAAAAAGTTTTACATGAATACAGACCGAAAATTGAGTTGAGGGGCCAATCATTCCCTAAACTCAATTTTAAAGCCTCTGTGGGTAAGAGCACGATGGCATTATCCACGCACATGAGAGTGAGTGAGATTATTATTAGCAGTTTTGTATTGATCTCTCTCTTTCCCTTACTGTTTACCCGTATTAATTAATTATAAATAGTTAAAAAAAATCAGCTAAAAATAAGGAGCGCAAGACCTCCATAGCACAGTTGCGCCGATAAGGCCCGCTTGGGGTCGAAAGCTAGTCACTCACAAAAAAAAAGTATTTAGTGTTCTACCGTGTCTGTTGAGTGCAGCTGTGATTTCAGTAACGACATGTGTGAAAAAAATAAAAATATTTGCAGGAAATTCATTTGTAGAATTCTCAACGATAGTGGAATTAGTAGAATTTTATACCACGTAAAGAGCCAGAAGCATGTATTTCTCAACATTTTAATTTAAAAACTCCTCTTATAACTGACCCTACAATAATACCTAGCCCACCTATTTTACTTTTTTATTTTAGCCCAAGTGGTTTCCTCCAATGTACAATTCCATATTGCGAGGCTCCTACGTAAAGGAGCGAAACTGCCGCTTACGCCTTTTTCCAATTATTAGCGCAATAAGTTTACTTTGCCTTATTCTATGAAAATAAAAAACAAAAAAAAAATTTCTTGTTAAATCCAAAATTAAATTTTAGGCAAATACATTACATAAGTGAGTTAAAAATTTTATTTCATTACCACGAAATTTATTTTCATAACTATTAATTGACTGAAAACCTCGTATAGAGGTGTAAAACCTTTTTTTAATTATATTTTTCGTAACTTATGAAAAATATTTTACAATTTCATTCATAACGAATATTACTATGTATCTGGCTTACTAAGATAACGCTGATAGAACAGAGATTGGTTTAAACATAAAATAAAATGCTGTGTGTTGCTTGTGGAAATAAAGTTTATGTCTATGTCTAAAAACATTTTAGTATTAAAACTTACATTAATATTGATTCTCGTAGGGCGGAAGATCACATAAGCCATTTTATGTGGAATAATAAAAGATGAAAAAAAGATAATCAACGATGTAAAAAGTCGAAATGTATTTAAATTACACAAAAATTAGTCTCAGCATGATAAATAACACGACATGTTAATACTTACTTGCTTCAGTAGTTTACAAGATTTGATACCAAATTGATTTGATTTGATACATTTTGGTACCCAAAATACCTCTCTGGCTACTTTAAACTGCTTTCCCGTAAATTTTGATTTTTTCACATAGGGCACGATTAAAGAGGGAGCCATCGATTTGAACATCTAGAAATTATTTTGTTTTTTTTATGTGAAAAGTTGCCGTTTCCTCTTTTAAATTATTGCCTGAGCTAAGTTTACAAATATCTTTTTATATGTTTGTAAATCTGATTTAATAATATGGTGGCATTGTATTTTCAAATATTTTTCTAGTATTAGTTTTAACAGGATTATGAATTTTATTTTATTTAATGTTCGCTGTTTTCTGCTAGTACGGAATCGTGTAGGCAATGAAACCCAAAAATAATGGAAAGAACAAACAAAAATACTATTTAGTGCACGAAGTCATGCGTTCCAATTTTGTGTAGGTAAATTATTATCATATACGGATCAAATAAATGAAGTAATTTTTAAAATAATAATGTATAGTCTTAAGATGATGTAATGATATTTGTATTTTGTCTCCCATAGTTTTTGTACCAAAACTTCCTAGTAATAAAATGACAACACCGGCTAACCAGAATAACACTACAAAATAAAAAAAAATGTTTTCTTAAATTAATAATGGTTAAATAACAAAAATTAACGAAAAGTGATCTTGGTGCTTTTATGTATACGGATTTTCCATATAATTACGACACAATTAATTATTTTTCTTGGAAATCTCAATATAATCTCAAAATTTTATTTGATCTTTAAGTACAGACGTCATTACCATGACTGACATGATATGGACAGAATTCTTTTAAGGGAAGCCATTTATTAAAGAAAGAAGAAGAAGAATTATTTTTCGTTAGCACATTATCCATATGTGCTTCAAATGATAGTAACATAGGCGAGATGCGAGTCTATCGAGTCTATTTATCGTCTAGACAAGTATATAATCAAAGATACGTATATGTGCCTGTAAACAAAAATCCACATGGTAATCAATAATACGGTAATTAATTTAAATAGGATTCATTTAGGTTTTTTATCAATAAATATTTTTTCGGTATCTCGTATCTATTAATCGAGGTAATGCTTTCAGTTCGAAGTCTATCATGTAAAGCTTTTTCTAATACGGAATCTGTGGAAAAGTTATTTTTCACAAGTTTCGTAATTCTATGGTAGAAATAGCGGCAATACACGTCAGACCTGACTCCGGGTGTGATTTTATACAGCGTGTCGTTATCATCGCGACAATAAATTAACACACGTCTAACGCTACTTACCAATAATCATAAAAAAATATTTACGTTAAACAAAATCCATAAAAAAAATTATTTTTCAAACAAACTAATTAAGTAAAAAAGAAAGCCTAGCGTCGCATTACAAGCGTCTCCTTCTAACAGTATGTTTTGTCTTTTTTAAATTCATTCAACCCATTCATATGCTTTGTGACCTTTACAAATGAACTTTACGTTACGCTTTTATAGGTAAGGGTGTTCTAAAATTCTTTGTTTTGGAAAATTTAATAACTCTGTAAATATTGATGTTTAAAGAATTTAAATGTTTAATACAACTTTAAAAAGTTATCCCCTATATGTGTGTTCATTTATTGTCGTGATGGTAACGACACGCTGTATACTTGATATTTACCTCGATCTCCTTTCCAAATTTGAATTTCCAATAGCAACAACATGTAAAACGTCTGCATTTAAAGCAGGCAAGCTATTTTAAAATCAAGGATGGTGAAACCTATACCATGTTTCGTTCCTATGGAAGTATTTTCAGAGATACCTACATTGAATTTTGTAAAAGTTTTTTCATTAATGAATAGATTTGTTTTTAATGTGTCATAAATTGTAGTACTGGTTCTCGTAACGGGGGTTTAACTGGAATATTTTTAACACATTACTAACACCAATTGCGATACGATGGAAATTGGATCCAGAATTTAATATTACACTGGTCAACTATATACAGTCTATTTTAAGGAAAACTTTGACGGTTTTGAGGTTAGTCGCTAGATATCACAGAACATGGCACTGCAAATTTAACTCAAAGTAAAAGGACAGTTTCAAATTTAAATTTCGCGTCAACTAGGTCCTTGTGTCAAAACTTATCCCAATCTACGCATACCTTACTAATTTATAGCCTATAAGTATTAATACTAGTACGCGGAGGATCGAGCTTTGCTCGGTTTGTTTTTTTTTAAATCTAAATTACATTTAGATACAAATTACTGAGTAATGAAATATGCATAATATTTTTCGATCTTACCGACGTAATAATAAGAAAATATGAACTGATGTTTTTCACAAAAGAAAGAACTTTAAAAAAAAAGGGAAAAAAATAACAAAATAACAAATCGACAAAAAATTAAAAACAAAGAAAGCAATGATCTGGAATCGAAAAAAAGGTAAAAAAATAAATGTGTAAATGATCGTGACGCGAACCACGGCCGTCTGTTTTGTTGCCGCCCGATTACCGACCAAACTATTTTGACATTTGCTCTTGCGGCGAAATTTACCGTCATATTCGAATTATATTTTTCATTCCCTGAAAACAGGGACAAAAGGACATTTTCTAAAAATGAAACCTAGCTAGATCGATTTTTCGCCCCCGAATCTATGCACATACAAAATTTCATGAAAATCGCTGTAGCCGTTTCCGAGATTCCGATTATGTATACATATATATATATATATATACAAGAATTGCTCGTTTAAAGGATAAGATATGATTATGTTCAAATGGTTTTGTAATTGTTGGATATTTTTACTTATATGTAAAAGTTATTTGAACACAGTTGTTTTTTCAGATGTTGATAGATATGACTTAAAACGGGTGTCACAAAAATCTGCACCGACTAATATGTAATCACTTGAATTTTTTACTGCTAGTTAACTTGACTGTTAGATATTACATATCTTGACTGTTAGAGGTTACATATCTATCACGTTAAACCAGTAAAATTCGTTGGGTGCATCGTCTCAAACTTTGTCCACCTGATAATTAATCATTAGAAATTGGCAGTAATAAAAAGACGTCTCATTGTGGCGGTTAAATGAGATTTGTGTACCAAGGAATCTCATCATAAGCCCGGGTGAAAATCGGCAGCTATATATCCATTACCTGCCACCTCATCACTTACGTTGTTTTCGTTGCTCGACCACCACCCACTAAGAAAAACATTCACGATTCGGGGGTTTCCAGACCATGGACACGCACATAATCGGAACAATTGTGGACCGCTCAGATCAATGTCCCGTGCGGGGATCGAACCCGCAGCGCACTGGCGGCTGGTGGGGCTGGACCAGTTCGCCGTCCGTGCGTTTGTTCCCCAATCTGTTAAGTTAACGGTACGGGGCGTTCGGGCGACGGCCGCCCGCCGAGGAGTGAAACGTCCTTGCCTCTTTTGGGGTAGACGAAAGCGCTGGGCGGGTGCAAATGGAAGACGACCTTGTGGACGAAGGGGCTGATGTCGCGGCCGCCGGCGCCTCGCACCCACACGCGCCAGTCCAGGGCGAGGGCGCGGCCAGTGGGGGAGCGGCGCGGCTCGCACGCATGCCCCACTTCCAGGCAGACGCGCACGCACATCTGTGCACAGTGTAACGGAGCACCATAAACTAACGTTCACAACCGTACTAGGAATGAGATAGGGCCATGCAACAGTTGTTCGCTGCTACACGAACGGGCAGGTCCGCCCGGGTAGGTGCCACGACCTCACAGAAGGCCGGCGTGAACTTCTGCGTTTCGTATGGTGAGTGTGGTAGCCGGAGCCCACTTTATTATAAGATGGCAACGCATCTGCAACCCAATGGATGTTGCAAATGTACATGGGCGGCGGTTATCACTTAACATCAGGTGAACCGCCAGCTTCTCACAAACAGAACCATACACGCTGCGTTCGCATTCCGTTTAAAAAAAGCGAGCCGAGGTTCACTTACATACGATACATGCTATTCAACTCTAATGCAGTGTATACCTGCAGTATTCACGATTTGCGGTGTTAGCTTGCTATTATCATCAAAGAACGAAATAGTTGATATATTTTGAAGCCCACCTTTTAAGAGGAGACCCATCCGATCAACCTAATAACCGGGCCAGTACTTAGCCTTACCCTGATGTCTTGTAAGGCCTTTGTTACTCTCCGACAGAGCTGGCCCATTCAGGCAGCGTTAGCCGCTGCTGCGCTGTTTTAAACTACTTTTGACTAACTGGTATCGTATTCGGAAAAGGGAAGGGAGTAGAGAGGATTATCTCGACGTCAATGGCATGTATGTACATGCAATTTGCAGTTGCTTTAAATAAGTATTAATTAACCATGTGAGTTGATGCGCAAATCCTCTCGTTTCGTTTACCGATGCTGCACGCATTCAGGAAATTGAATTCGGAACAACATCGCACGCCTCAGCCTTGATCGTCATCAAAGGAAAGGGAACACCTGAGAACCGAGGTGGGTAATGCGAACTTAACTCGGGGAATTGAAGGTCCGATATTACCGAACTCAGTTTCGTATTAGTATAATTCAAAAAAAAAATCTCTAGTTAACTATAATATCATTTTAATTTAACTGAACTTATTAAATGGCATAACGTTGCACGTTACAGGAAGACACCGATTTTTAGCACGAAAGAATGATTACATCACAAGCCATCTCTTCGAAGCTCGAATTATTGGACTTCGCGTACCAGCGTAATCTTAATAGGATTTTATGATGACGGTTACCTTAGGATGTAATATCATTGTCGAATTTTCAGAAATATTTCTTTTTATTTCGCCAATTGCCTCGAAAAACGTCGACGTGAGGAGCACGCAAGATTGTTTTTAATCTTGGTAACATTATATGCTCAGTCGTAAATTGAAAATCGTGGTTCGTGTAATAAAAAAAAAACAATATTGTTATCGTCCGAGGTGTGCGAAAACAAAAACCATTTTTAAAAACTTTACACTGTGGCAAAAACGCAATTCACAAGTCACTACAATTCAAGGTCCGAACAGAACGTGCCCGATAAAAAGCCGAGATTAAACGTCGTTTAAAATATTCCCTGCCATTAATACGTGCAAAAGAACCACTGTCTATGTCAACTTTATATTGTTATAATATTTCGGCATATAAATTTACTTTGTTTGTAATTAACTACGATTAAACCGAGATTACGTTTTTCTTCCGAGATAGAAGTTTATTCAATTTCCAATGTATTTATATTTGTTTATTGAACAAACTGCCATGCACACACAAACACATTTGTTGAGCAATAAAGTCAATGTACACGTTCACGTCACATAAGTTGCTTATTTGATAAAAATAAATATGTTAATCTTAGACTCAAAACACTACTTATAATCAGCCAGGGTTATATAGGCCATTAATTTATGGACATCGTAAAGGCGCTACCAAATTATAATGCGGAAATTAAAAACATGGCCGTATCGAAATGATTGAGAGAATATTGGTCTTATTTCATGTTAGATCCATAATAACACAATATCTAATATTTGCACATACTTCAAAAATGGTGGACTGCGATACCCTCGCGATAATTAATGTGGTAAAACGATTTTGGAATTACAATAAACTGGAATCTTTTATGATACAATGCATGTACAACCGGTGCGATTCGCTTGAGTTTAAGTCAAAGTTGTTTTAGGAGGATTTTTTTACGAAAGGAACAAATACGCAGTATGAGAATATACGATTTTTGACAGCAGAGGAACTTCTTCTTCTCCTACTTCCTTGTAAAAAGAATTGAACTGGAGTTTTGCCACGTTGCATGATGCAACGTTTTTTGCGAAGCAATTTTGTTATATATGCATATTGCATAGCATTATTAGTTGCCAGTTAAAACATAGGTATACTAAGTATATTTTATCGACACTGGGTATTTTTTGATCAGGCTTTGATCGTTTAAAGAAGCAGTAAAGTTATTTAGGACGTACAAAATACGTTAAGTAACAGCCTATACATACCCCACTGGTAGGCAAACGCCTCCCCTGTACAGAGAGTATAAGGGCACAGTCCACCACTTACTGCGGGTTGGCGGAGTTCGCTTATCTTCAAAATTTATATATATTTTGTAAACAATTTCATTGCTGCTACCACCGGGATTTGAACGCAGGCTACTCGAGTATGTTGAATTAAAGGATAGCACCCGGACACTGAGCTATCATGGCTGTTATGCCAAAAAATATCGACATTGAGTTATAATTGTAACGCACATAGTTAATCATACTTGTGGACCAATTGAGGCGTCGACGTGAACGTTTAATATTGAATAATGTCTTCCGCGTTTAGATTGGAATGCCTTTCAATTATTTTTTACATAGCTATTGCCTTCAGTGGCATTGGATGCATTGGATTTTTTAAAACACGGCGAAGGAGAAAAACGTTCAGAAATAATCAGAGACTAAGGTATAGAGTAAACAAAGCTCGAGAAAAGACCCATATAGACAAGCTTGTCTGCAAAGGCTGAGCGAGGTGGGAACTTTTGGGTGCGGGATTTTACTTGTTTCTTTTTTATGTGAGGTGAGGTCAAACGAGAAGGCAGTTCACCTGACCTAAGTGATGACCGCCGTCCATTTACATTTGCAACACTCGTAGGGTTGTTATCGTTTAATAATGTGGGCCCCGGCTACCTCACTCACTAGAGGAAACGCAGAAGTATAACACCCCCACTTCACGCCGATCTTCTATGAGGTCGTGGTACTTACCCGGATGGATCTGCCCATTCGTGAAACAGAGAAGACTGTTGCGTGGCTCTACTACAGAAGGGGTTATAGACAATGATGTTTTATATAAAGGTGAATCATATTGTCCATAGTGGTTACATTTAAAAATGGTAACGTTAATATGACATGTGACAGATGATATAGAATGTGTGATGTCGAAAAAGATAGCAGTCTAGATAGACTTGCAATCTAATTACACAAATTGGCGTAATTTGGGTGCCTCAGTTTCGTTGAGCTAGTGTCATATCTACCTCGTATTTGCATATAGTATCATTGGTTATAGAGCATAGGTGTTTACTACTCCGTTTCTTATATCACATCCCAACATGCCTTACCTTTCTTATTACCACTGCCACTGATACATATAAATATGACCGAAAGGAATTAAGTAGTATATTAGTTTTACAAAATAAAACCAGACTTTGGAAGAAAATCCTTTAACGATAGTTAGTTTTTCTACTCATTTTCTTATTGTGTCAAGGAGTGATTATTTTTCATGGCTGTGTCAACGTCAATTTTTTTAAATTTAAACCTTTGCTTATAAAAGAGGATTATTGTGATGTATCTAAGTTTGAAATTGTGTTCCATCTAGTCCAAAGACAAGCCATAAGATTTAAAACAGGCATTGATTTGGAAGTGTTATTTATTTAATTTATTTGTTATAGAAATATACACTTAAAGGTTAAACCTGCTATTATTGTTATAGTCGGCGATGATTTATCAATTCAAATGAAATATTAGTGAGTAAAAAAGTATTTTTGATTCATAAAATACGAGATCTTCCGTAAATGGACAATCTCTATTCTAGATTTTAGTTATAAGAATAAATAATATTGTTTTATCCTCAAAGCAATTTTAGTTTTAGATGAATTGTGAGGACGAACTTGTTTGAATATCTGCGATCATCCTTGGTTTTTATTTAAGTGCAATTATAAAGAACGCAACGGTTTTAGGTTATAAACAATTGTTTTAAAAAGACGACGCATACGACGCCCATATTGCGCGCGATTAAAAATTGTTCCGCTTTACAATATTTGACATATCATGCGAACGTGACAGATGATATGGAAAGAGATAGCAGTCTATAGAGCTGCAATGTAATTACACCAATTGGCGTAATTTGAGTGCCTAAAGTTCGGTGCGCTTTTAGTGCCATATCTACCTCTTAACTTTATATAATTATATGACTCTTCTGTACGTGTGTATATCAATGAACTCTGCTACTCTACTCCTAAACGGCTAGACCGATATTAATGAAATTTTTTCTCTCAAAAAATTTTGTCTCTTCAGGTATTATATGGGATGTAGGAGTCATTCAGACAAACTTATTCAAAAAGTTTGAAATTTTCGGTTTTAGGACGTGTGTACAGGACAAAGTCTGTCAGTTCCGCTAGTTTGTTATAAATACAATTCAAAATATTAAGAAGCCAAACAATAATACATTATTTAGCTCAATAAAGCCACGGTTTAGCTTTCACTCCCATGGATTAGATCATAACCGATAGATAAGAAGAAAACTACCGAGTTTTACACCCTGTTAGAGGTAAGCCAAAATTGCGTAATTGCGTGTCGCTTTAAATATAGTGAGCAGACTTAAACTCCAGTAAGAACGAACGAGACACTTTGTAAAGACCATAAATCCTTTTTGTTCTCTTGATAAGTACACGGCGGCCGCTCTGTATATTGATTTTGATGGACTGATTGCATTCAATTGAATACGAGACTATGCTCAGACAATCCAATTTATATTTTGTCGTCTTGTTTTTTTTTTTCAATGGATAGGGACAGTTTATTTATTTTACTTCACCAACAAGTTACACATCGAAACATACTTACACATACGTAAATAACAACGTAGTATCTTAACC